TTTGTTTTGATTTATATTCTGATAATAAAAAATGCCGGCTATGTGTATGCATTCTCTTAGTTGCGGAGGGGATGCCGGGTGCTACCTGTTATTCCCGCTTTGGCGCAGTGCCCAGACTTTTGTTTAACAACAAAGATTACGTAAGCAGAATACAGATGGCTTGGTCACCGGCCTCCCTACCCTCTTTCTCCCTCTCTCTCTCTCTCTCTCTCTCTCTCTGTCTGTATCTATATAATTCTTGCGTTCTATTTTCAAAAGAATAAACGGGTTGGAAAGATGATTTCAGGTAAAAAAGCTCGGGTGTCTCTGCCACTCTGCCACTCTTTCCTCCTCTCTCTTAATGAGCCGCTGCCTTGGCACAGTGGGTTGCAAAAATAACAGCAACAATAGCAGAATATTACTGAAAGGGGTGCGACATGATGAGTCATCTGCGCTTTTACATATGTACATACCCTGGAATGGGGGATTTTGAGTTTTCCAAGGCAGAGAAGATATAATTTCCTAGACTGATTTCTGGATTTTATCTGAAATAATAATTAAATTGCAATCTTTCGAAATTCCAATCAAAATCAAATCACTTTATCGTAAACCTGTCCAAGGGTATCAAACACTACCTTATCTTTTCTGGTCTAGCTGTTTATTTCCTTTTGTACGACGTACATACATACATATGTTTGCTTTTATTTTTTACTGTCGTCGCGAAATGATGGCACTAAACTTTTAAGCCCTGGAAATAATTGCAGATGTTTTTAAGCAAAGAAATTTACCACGCAGTAAATAATGCATGTACATACATATGTACTCAACTATGTAAATGTGCTTTTAATTTAATGTTGAATATTTGATGGAAATTGATTGGAGTTGGGGAAAATGCAGGATAGAAAAATATTAAAAATGTATTGCGGTGGTTACAGTCGGGCACACTTGTGCATGTTCCCAGAGTAGGTACGCCCCCTTCCGCTGAGCCTGCTGCTCTCTCTAAAATTTCGTTTTGATTGATAATAATTGAATGGCAAGCGTTACTTGAAATAGATGGAACACACAATGGAAACACAAATTGTTGCACGTTTTTGCACGCCTGACAACAATGGCCCTGATTTCAGGTCGTCTCTTTCTCTTGTCTCTATCTCTCTCTGTGGCTCAATTAGGTTCAATTGATTCTAATGCGGTTTGGGCTTTAGAATTCTATCTTTTGTATATTTATTTTGTTCTCTTTCACTATAGTATACATATAATTCCACATAATACAGAACTCTGGCCACAAATCAAAAGATGATTATAAATAATCAAATTTGGCAAATTGCCTGGAAATAAATTTGCATTCATTCATTGCACAATGTCAAGGTCCAAAAAAAAAAAACAGAAAAATAAATAAAATAAAGAAAAAATTGATGCATCGGCCGGGAATCGAACCCGGGCCGCCCGCGTGGCAGGCGAGCATTCTACCACTGAACCACCGATGCTTGTGCGGTTCTATCAGCCAAATGTTAACATATAACATTGGCCGAACGAAGCTGTTAAAAAATTATATTTAACATCACGAAAGGAAACGAAAAAATATTTTCAATTAAACTGTACCGATTATTTTTCATACGTAGTAATTTATTATTAGAACTAAAATTAAGTAATTTTCATTCTTTCAGGTATGTTCCGCCGCGACTATGGGGTTTTAGTGGTCATGTGCAAACGGTTTTGCACAGTATTGTAGGACGAGTACGTTGCCCGTGGCCCTTGGGAGAGCGGGTCTATCTCTCCCTGCAGGATGGCTCCACATTGACATACGATCTTTACCAGCCCCTCAACGAGCAAGAGGGTAAGTCCAGCCATCAATCAGTCTTCTTTCCATATCTTAATCTCTTTTCTCTTTCAGACGATATAACCGTGGCCATTTGTCCCGGCATAGCGAACAGCTCGGAATCGGTGTACATACGAACCTTTGTTCACTTGGCCCAGTGCAATGGTTATCGCTGTGCAGTATTAAATCACATTGGCGCCCTGCGCAGTGTCCAGGTGACGTCGACACGCATCTTTACCTATGGCCACACCGAGGATTTCGCCGCCATGGTGGAGAATTTGCATCAGAAGTATCGTCAGAGTCGTATAGTGGCGGTCGGATTTAGCCTGGGCGGAAATCTGGTGACGAAATACATGGGCGAGATGCAAAAGCTGAAGCCACTCAGCGTCATCGGTGGCATATCCATATGCCAGGGCTACAATGCTGTAGAGTGAGTGGGGGGTGAAATGACCATTATAGAACTGAACGAATCTAATTCTTAATTTCCTTTTTAGGGGCACCAAATGGTTGCTGAATTGGCAAAACTTCCGACGCTTCTACCTGTACATCATGACGGAGAATGTGAAGAGTATTATCCTGCGACATCGCCACATCCTGCTCTCCGATGAGGTCAAGACACGTTATAATCTGAACGAGCGCGAAATAGTTGCTGCGGCAACTTTGCCAGAGCTGGATGAGGCCTACACAAGGAAGGTCTACAATTTCGCATCCACCCAGGAGCTGTACAAATGGAGCTCCTCGCTGTTCTACTTTGATACAATAGAGAAACCCATGATATTTATAAATGCTAGGGATGATCCGTTGATACCAGAGGATTTGTTGCTGCCCATCAAGGAATATGCAAGTTAGTATCAACAATAGTTTATGAATAGTGTAGATAACACTTAGCCCTTAGTAGTCGATCTAACAAATACCATGAAAAAGTGCACATTCAACTCTTTGGCGCTCAACTTTAAGTATAGCTGCTAGTTCAGTGTTGTGTAACGCAGTAACGATAGTTTTAACAAGGTTGTGTGTGTGTGCTTTGTATGGCATAAAATGCCATTCTGCGCCACCCCTTTAACATGCAGCCGTGGCCGAGCGGTTAAGGCGTCTGACTAGAAATCAGATTCCCTCTGGGAGCGTAGGTTCGAATCCTACCGGCTGCGAATGCGAATTCCGGCTCGTTTAGTCTCGTAATTTTTTTGTTTTCCTGTTTTAATATTTTACGTATTTAAAATACTAATGTGTATATATATTTTTGTTTCTACAGCCACACGACAGAATACAGCCTACGTGGAAGTGGCCCATGGCGGCCATCTGGGCTTCTACGAGGGCGGTTTCCTCTACCCGAATCCCGTCACCTGGCTGGATCGCACACTGGTGGCCATGGTGGGATCGCTGGTGATGATGCACGCTGATGTGGGCAAGGTGACGCCATAAACTAAAGAATTGTTAAAAACACACCTATAAATGCTTTTGTGTGAAAATCGGTGGTCGCTGTCTAAATGAATCTTAATCGAAGGAGAAACCAAACGGAAACATATAGAACTTACATATAACATATAACGTATAATAATTGATGTGAAACAACTTATATTATCACCAATGGAAACAGGAAAACCAAAATTGATGTATACTTTTGTAAAGTGCATTTAAAAATGAGAATAATTTATAAAGCAGATGTTCTGAAAAGTTTTTATGGGAAAACAGTTTACGTTTTATGAAAAACCGAAAATCCAAGCATATAATGTATCACCTTAAATTATATTTTAGTTAGTTTATGCAAGTAATACGTATGTACCCATGTACTTATAAGCGAAATTCCTATTTATCAGCATTCTAATTTGTAATCCCACAGGGTTTTAATTATATTTTTATATGCCGACTGTACACAAGACAAAAACACATACCACATACACACACACACGATATCCATATATTTTATGCCAGTAATAATAAATTATAAGTCCCTGGTCGCACACGCACACGCACAAACACTCACACCATATGTATAACAACCAAATGCCTTATTGTAGACTTATTTTATAAAAGCGTGTGTATGATTTTTGAATTATTTTGAATCATTTTGTACTACGATGCATTTCGAGACAAAGAAAGAAACCAAAAAAGAAAATTCGCCCAACGATGGCTACGATTTTTTGTACTTTTTCTGATCTTTACCAGTTGTTAGTCGCAGACAAAATTTGTTTGTGTTTACAGTGTTTGCAAAAAGCGTGTGAGCAATGATATATTAATATATAAATACGTGTATATGAGTTAATTTATAAATGTATTTGTAAATGTGTATTTATAAATGTGTATGTAAATGTATGAATAAATAACAGTTGACTAAACAGTATTAAATAGCTTTTAAGCAAATGGAATATTTCGATGAAAAATTTTATATATTGATTATGGTGTACATTTATACATGTGTATCGTTATTTTATGCCATTCTTTTCTTAATTGTCACCCACTTTCACTAGAATTTACGAAGTACATGCATATGTGTATACATATCTACATATCTATCTGTATTAATATCAACCAGTTATTGCGATGAATTTATTAGTTCTACCTTCATTCACAAATACCAATTTGTTCCGTTCCGTTTTATGAGAGAGCGAGAGAGAGATCTCTCCTATAGAGAGATATCATGAGAGACAAAAGGAAAAATTAGTGTTAGTAGCCGTCTCTAGACACGTCTACTGGCTTTCAGTCGAACAACTGAGGCACTACTTTAGACAAAATTATGTTTTCCAGCACACACAGTCAGTAATCCAGCCAAATTGCTTTTCGATTAATTTAACTGGAAAGCCAGCTGGACGCATATACCTCTCTCGCTCTGACTGTTCCCATAAGGCTATCTCTATTTTTGCAGCTAGTCAGCAAGAAACGACTAATCATTAGACTCTAATGTCATAACATCATAAGCTATATATTTTTGCAGTACTAACTTATGTTATGTTAACATATTTATATTATCTAGTCATTTTATATTGAGTTTACCCAAAAAATAAGCATTCTGCGCGCTTCCATCAACAAGCAGCCGTGGCCGAGCGGTTAAGGCGTCTGACTAGAAATCAGATTCCCTCTGGGAGCGTAGGTTCGAATCCTACCGGCTGCGAATTATGTGGGCAATGTTTGTACATAGCCTCCTTTTTGTGTATGTTTTAATATTTTAATTTTTGTTGGTTTTTTTTTGCAGCCATACTTTTTTTAACTTTTTTTTTATTAAAAGATCTTTTATTTAATTTTACAAAACCGTTTCGGGCAGGTCTGGCGGCAGCAGCAGTTGAGGCGGTATTTGGTATTGAGTCCGTCGCAATAGGACTTTTTGAAGTTAAAAGTAATCAAAGCTGCAAGGATAAATCGTGGTGAAAAAGTACATCCAATATGGACATGGACTCACGTGCAAAACCATTCTTTAATCTCTCCTGGTTGATGGTCTGAATTTCGCAGCCGGACATGCAAACGAAGCTGAAGGGCAATCCTTTCGAACAACTAGTGTCCAAGAGACAGCGGCTCGCTTCTGTAGGGGAGCAAGGACCCCCTTCATTGGGTGCCGTTTTAGTGCATTGGGGGCTGCAACAGGCATTATCGCGGGGCGGTAGTCTCGGTTCCGTGAGGCCATTGTCGCGGCAGCCGTTTTGGCCGACAAATGCTGGGCAGGCCTGGGAGCAGCACGAGACCTGGACCAAAAGAAGCGTCGCCAAAGTTTGGAACAGCAGCAGAATGCGTGTGGCCTCCATGTTGGTTAAAGAATAGTCAATCGATCGTGGAATAACACCCGCTTTTATACCCACCCAATCATAGCTTTCTCTGGTGTTTGCACAAATGTTGCCGGTCAAAAATAGATTGAGAAATGGCAAGGGGCACTATAAAAGCGGCTTGTACTCATCCAAAAAACCTAAACGTGATCGGAATGACTGTGAAGGTTCTGTTGGGTCTGCTGCTCCTGAACATTGCCACCGAGGTGGCATTCGCCTGCACAGGAAATCTCTGTCCGGAGGTAACGAATACGAATCATTTGTGTAGCGGAACGCTGCGCTATCAATGCGTCTGTGACTTCACCTGCTCCGAGTGGGACCAGCCCTGCAATTGGTGTCTCACTTGTCCAGAAGAGATCAGTGATATCAATACGTATCGCAACCAAAAGAACAAGCTGCGTAAGTTGATAGGATGATAAGTATAATACATCTTGAAATAATATATATTTTTATATCATTACTTCCTATTTTAGCTGTCTTTGGCCTACCCAATAAAAGCTATAAGCAGTGCCTGGACATTAATATCCAAACACATAATTACAACAAATGTCGTGACATCAATTAAATGTTAAAGTAGTTTGTTTCTAAATAAAATTTAAAAGTATTTACTTGTTACAAATTATTATAATAAGCCCCTACTGCACGTCGTATTATTGTGGCATATGGTATTGATTTGTTTGTGTGGAATCTCCCAGTGAGGGACACAGTTGCTTTACACAATGTGGAGATTTTTTTCTATAGATTGCAGCACATTCACAGCGCATTCTCCGATGTTTTCTGCTCTATTTCACACTATCTACAGGAGTCCGAATATCGTTCTTATTAAAGTTGAGAAACCGCATTTGTAACCATTCGTGACTTCTTGTGATATCAGAAATTTCTATAGTGCATTTTAACGACTGTTGCTGGAGCTTCGTTTTAAATAATATTTATAGATTCCTTGTATTGCATACAGCATTTTTGTGTGATGATCTTTTAATATTTAAAGTTACAAAAACATCGAATAACTTTTAGTAGAATGTAACGTTAGCGGCATATGCAAAGCACACACGCTCGAAAGTTCCTTCAAGTGATCAAGATAATCTAATCCACCCTCTAAAATCCCTGAATATAATTGAATTTGAATAGGACTACATTCAGTTTGTTTGGATTTAATGATGTCCCAACAGAGGGTATTGCAGCTTTCACTAGACGTTTGTAGTCCAGAGAAGAATTTAATATGGAACATATTGATCTGTAAGGCTTTTAAATCCTGCGCATTGTGATGATAACCTTTCTTTCCCGTTGTATGTTTGTTTAAGTCATAAATTAACATGTGCTGGACAACAACTTTCTTTGTACAGATGTTGCTGGTGAGCTTGTTTGCTCAAGGGTGAATTTAACCTTGAAAACTGGGATAAACAAGTAACAGGTGTTTTTCTGATTACTCTCCTATATGAAATTATTCAATATATTCGTGACTCCGCTTATTGTATTTCAAATCTAAAGACCAGTAGGCTAGCTGTTACCAGAAGAGAATATTTGTTCGTAGTTCCTTAAGGAATGTTAAGTTATACACATGTACTCAAATTATAATAAATATATGTTGTCTTGTATGCCAAATGTATTATTTATTTAGTTAGTTTATATATATTCACTGTCCATGCACACTCACACATACATATGTTTAGTTTCAATAGTTCTTACATATAATTAGATGTTAGCTGTGTACTTATGGATTACTGTTTAATATCTGTGAGTGCTTTGCCTAACACATATGTACATATGTACAATAGTCGTTTTAGTTAACATTAAATGCCTTCTTACTGGTTTATACGATTAAGTTAAAACTACAACACTCATTCAGCTTAGGACTAGTTTAGATCGTACATTAGCTTTTCAGCATTATTGGGTTCCTCGCAGTCAAAAGAGGCCATCATTAGTTCTGTAAAAAAACAAACACACAGTCGTTAGTGGAAATGATCAAAATATTTGCTTTAAAAACAGTATTAACAATGGCACACGTTTCGTTTATTCTTATGATTGTAGGCCAACGAAAAATTGACAAAATAACAACATTTTTATTTAAGTTTCTGTGTCCACTTGATTTAAAAGGACACTCAAGCGGACACAGTAACAGACCCACAGTACACACAAACATGGAAATACATACTTGTACACACTCCAAATTGTCCGAAAAAATCTCAACGATGTTTGCTGAACTGTTTGATATTTGTATACCCTTACAGGGGGTACCGTGATTTCAATAGGGGATAAAAGGTTGCCCCTTTCTACGATACGAACAGCTTCTTTGAAACTGGAAACTTTTACTATTTCTATTAGAATTAGAAATTTGTTGAATGCTTCTCAAATCGTATTTTCTCAAAAACCTGCACTAAAAAATAATTGTAACATCGAAGAGTATTTTTACCGACGACTATATACAACTAGCATTCCTCTTCTATTTTGTTTTTTGGTTTGGCCTCCAGTCCGGCACGTGTTCGATGGAATGCGATGGAGCCTTGAGGGCTCGTCATTTGTTTAGTTATTTTTACCACGCATCCGGAGAGAGTGGTAAACAAAACTTTTGTGAAAAAACAGTTAAAGTTTATGAAGCTAGAAAGTAGCAACATTTATATTTCATGTACGAAACGATTTTCCGCGCTCACCAGCCGGAACTTCAATTATCATATTAATTTATGCAACTTTTTGTTTTAAGGAATTTCATTTGCATATTCCCAGGGATAGAGTGGGATAAATAAGTGTAGAAAAATGTTCAACAGAGATTTGTTTACACCTCTTGGCGATCAGGCAAACACATCGCCGTAATACCGAAAACCGTTTAAGTAGAGAAACTTGATCCGGTTAACATTTGGGGAATGGGTTGGCTAGCAGTCAAGTGCTGGCAAGTGGGTCAACACTACTCTCTGACATTTTAATAAAAGGAAATTTAATAAAGCTGTAAGACAAAATATTGTATATTTCTCTGTGGGAAAGTGGAGAAGGAGGTTGAGTGCAAAGGAGAGGAGAGTGGAATGGTGTGATGTCCAATTCACACCATGAGTCCATTAAAATTTTACAATGTTTGGGGAAGCAGCCTCGCTTGGTCAACAGATGTGCGCTTGACTTGCCACAAAATGTGGCATGCCTCTGCAGTCTATCCTCTGTCCTGTGTCCTCTATCCTATATCCCTGCCTCCCAGTGAGTTTATAGGATTTGTGTTCACATACTCTACGTATGCTTGAGGAGAAAAAACTACAAAACATCCGCCTGGAACATGCTCGGAAAATTCTCTCCTAGTTGTGCCAACAGCAAAGCCCCTGCCATACGAATATCTGTCCACTCAGCACCCGTTACAATGAAAGAAATGTTGCCTCTGGTTATGGAACAGAAAAAACCATGGTTCTGCTTGGCATCAAATTTTTTCCCTCAGCCTTTTTCCTCTTGTTTAGTTTTAATAGAGTCGTGTGTGGTTTGTAAATATTTTCCTTTTTATCTGGGGCCTGAAAATTTTGTGAGGCGGCTCGGTTCAGCTTGGTTTGTTTCAGTTTGGTTCGGTTCGGTTCAGTTTTCGAACTTGTTTTTACGGTTTACGGTGTCTAACGAGCGGTTAAACGCCTGGGAGATGGAAAATTCTCAAAATATCAGTGAAATATATTTTGTGATGGAATAAAAAATTAAACCTCAAGCTGATTGCAGTTCATAAATCTACATATGTATGTATGTATTCTTTAGAAATTGAAGCTTGGGTTTTGATTGTCTGATTGCGTTGGGAATTGACAGGAAGGGAAATGAAGGCCAAAACCTAAGGCTCGTACTGAAAGGATACCAAAATAGGACAAAAGGTAATACAAATATTAGCACACAGGAAAATATATTTCTTCGAAAACATAAAACTATCGAATATTCCAGTACATTTGTCAAATTAATGATAGTAAACCCATTCTTATCATATTATCTCACGACTGACTATATATTGGGATCCATTTGATGTACTTGCATCCCATGCTAATTACTGAAGTTACTAATGCTCTACATGTCAAATTATGCTCCTTATAGGGTACCAAATGATTCCCCATCATACTTCAGCCCAAAATTATAAATCATCCAGGTAGTTTTTATAAAAATTGTTTTTCCTCAGCGCCCGAGATACAATATATTTTATTTCCTGGTTCAGTGAGGCATCAACTACTCACTTCCGGCGCTTACAGCATCCTCCCCAGCACCGACAGCCGCAACTACTGTAAAATGATTTTCACTCAAAAACAGAAGGGAGAGGAGGCCAACTGGGTGGGTTGTGTCCGAGAGAATGACAGACAGGTGATAGATAACAAGGACGGTGTATGGTCATTTTTCCACACCCACACCCAGGCACCTTATCCTTCTCTGAAGGAAGAAAACAAAATGAAATCTGCCCGCAGCTGAATACCAATAACGTGCTGCTGTCAGTCGGCTTAGGAGGGTAGATGGTGCGAGTATTGGGGTATGCTGAGGACAGTTACCAACTGAAGTTTCCTCTTATCTATATGTATTTATCTGGAATGTCTGAACTGTCGGCCGGCCTGTCAGGTCCTAGCCGACGACACTGACTAAAACAATATAAATCTGCACAATTTACTCTGTTCAATGGCAACTGTTTCAAACGCGTTAGAACAATAGAAAAACTAAAAATGGAAGGCATTGTTTTTGGAAGTCCAATTTTTATTCAACATATTTGACTGACAATACGATGAAACAGTCGCTGATGGCTTGTTGTGTCCTTTTTTGTAACTATGCAAATTTAATGATATTTATTCTGAGAACAGAAAAAGGTTTTATCCCCAAAAGTTGCACACGAAGTATGCGTGTATACCCGTAACTGTGACTAAGATATCTTAAAATTTAGTCCAGTGAATTAAGTATCTGTTTTTGTCGATCCGTTTTAAGATTTTGACATCCGCCTTCAAATGTTCTTTGACATCCATATCTCAGAAGTTTGTTTGGGAAATTCCTTTTCTTTATTTTGCCTATCTTGGAATCAATATCATTTACCTATCATTCAATATTAGAATGGCATATCTGCCCAAGAGTAAACCACTGCACGAATTTCCCATGGTTCGCTTTTTTGTTTCTCGGCGGCAACGATGATTATATAATGATGATGATGAGACTAAGTCAATGATTTTGCATTGCCATTGAACTAAGGATAATTGTGCCAGCTGTTAGGCCAGGCCGAAGGATTCACTTTAATGAATAGTTCCTAGGCATTTGGTTTGGCTTCCACGAACTGGCTGCTGCCCTCATTACCATACCTAAGGCCTAATGAGCAAAATTTAAATAGCACACAGATGCACAGAGCAGACCCAAACAAATGGATATAAATTAGTTTCATTTAAATTGCCCATGCCCCATGCCCCATGCTCTCTAAGATGTTTGTCCTAGTGTTGTGGGTGCTTGTGGGAAATTCCTTGGCCTTGTTGGTCCTGGCATCCATAGAATGCAGTAATTGTAGATTTAAATATAACTTTGACTTCGTTTTGTGGTCCTGGCAACTTGCAAATGCATTTTGTGGTTTTAAGATAAACATTTTCATTTCGAAATTCCCTCGAAAGCAAATATTATTTTTATCAATTTTCTTCGCACATCTAAATGCAATTTCTGCATGCTGTTCGCTTTGGAATTTCGTGAAATGCCTTTCGAGTGCTTGTGTCATGCCGGAGCAGACGTGCCCCATCCAATAGGCATAGCTGCGTTGACATTTCACCCCTTGGGGAGGCAAGGAACGAAGCAGCCGCCAAATAGAAGAGGATGAGGCTGTTCCCATAGAGACGGGCCTCAATGTCGCATTCAAGCGGGAGCAGGGCTTTCTTTCTTTTTTGGATGCATCGCTTGTGCTTTTTGTATTTTCCTTATTTTTTTCTTATTTTTATACTTTTGCCAGTCATATCACATGCCTGCATAAAGCGAGGGGACCTGGAGTGCGTCCCTGACAAAACAATTGTTTTGTCTTCATAGCCAAGTATGTATGTAGATACGTGATGGTGTATGGTTGGATTTTCAAAGCTAAACAATTGATAGAAATAGGCAAAGCGGAAAGGAAAAAAATTAAATGCTTTTGTATTCCTTTGATTTCATTACGGAAGCATTTTTTTCGTGCCTATAGTCTTTGCTAAATTGTTTTCCAAGATTTCCTTTGTCTTTAAAAAAGTGTTTATATATTTTGATATTTGTATCTTGGAGGGGCATATAATCTTTATTCTGTTGCTTGTCAGTCTAGAGACCACAGATATGTTTTTATACCCGTACTCAAAAAGAGTTAAGGGGTATATTAGATTTGTGGTAAAAGTGGATGTGTGTAACGCAGATAAGGACACGTTTCCGACCCCATAAAGTATATATTTTCTTGATCAGCATCAAAAGCCGAGTCGATAGAGCCATGTCTGTCTGTCCGTCCGTCTGTCCGTCTTGTTTGTCGTCTGGATCTCAGAGACTATAAGAGCTAGGGCAACCAAATTTGGTTTCCAGACTCATGTGATATCACACTGCTACAAGTGTATTTCAAAATTTCGCCCCGCCCCCTTCCGCCTCCAAAAAGGACGAAAATCTGTGGCAGGCACATTTTTAAAGATACGATAAAACGTAGAGAATGCCCATATCTACCAGATTGCTAAATCTGAATCAGATCGGATCATAATTATAGCCAGAATGAAGAAATTAATTTTCTGTTGGTTCTTCCGCCCCCTCCTGCCAGAGACCCACTACCTATCTCTGCCGCGTTCAGTGCGCGACAACCCCTAGCCGAGGAGATGTAGAATATGAATGGTACATATATAATCTACATGTTAGATGTAAAATTTACTTTGCAAATGTATATGTCAGCCGATGTAGCCAAAAATTTAAAAACGCCAAACACTAAAAAATCATAAGCTCAAAAATGTACATACTGAGGGTACGGGGCTATAAGGATACCGACGTTCCCACCGACGACTCACACGTTCCATCTCGTTTTTGTTAGTTACTGTTGAAAACTTAACGATTAGTGAAAATTTAAAAAGTTAAGATGAGGTTGATATATTTAGATAACTAGTTCGCAAAAACTTGTGCAGGTCTTTTACTACCAATAACTGATTAATGACCAAATGAATGACTTTAAGTAGATATGGAATATATTTTGCATCATATATCCAAATTCAGCAAAAATTTTTTTTAAATTTTCTTGATTAAAATTTTTTGTAAAATTCGGTAGAACCCTCTAAAAAATAAAAAAATAAATAATAAAACATAGAATTACTATCAAATTTAAGGTACAAAACCCATGTCTGTTGGTCAATTTCGAAAAAAAATTTTTTCCAAAAAAAAAACCACGATTATATACCCAACATTTATTTTAAGTGTTTCGAAAGTGCATCAAAAGTTGGAAATAAACTTTTATTCGTATTTATTCATTGGCATTTACATTGCTGACGTTGGCTTCAAGTTTAGCTAAACTTTTCTGAGCTGCTGGACAGTATTTTTTGTTTGGTTATATGCTGAGGACACTGACTTAGAAGATGTTCGGTTGACTTAGCTAAACAACTACACTAACTGCAAAAGAATGGAACCTGAAAAAAATGGGAACCCCATTTGCCTTCTTGTGTGGAAGACACCCAGAAAAACAAGTTGGTCATCGATGCGACATCAAAAACAAATATAACCACAATAACAAGACCAACTTTCAACTAAAACTTGGCTTAATCCTAAAGCCGTAAACGAAAGGAGTCGGGGACACACCACACGCTTAAATAGATTTGAATTCCTAATATTTTGTACTGTTTTTTATTTTATTTCTGCACTCTTCAGACTTTGAAATTGATTTCTGGAGTACTCTTCCCGCCAACATCTTCTATAAATTAAATAAATAAATTATAATGCGTGTGAGAATCCCTCAGCAGGCTTACCCTTGATTAAGTATTCCCAATCATTGCTAAAAATGTAATTGTAATATGTACGGGAAAAAAATGCTCTAAATGAAATACTAATCAATTCTAAATGCGTATTAGATAATTTCTACAAACATTTACTTCCCCCAAAATTTTTGTAAGAACAACTTATTTAAGAAATTGCTTAGAGTAAAAATAATTTTTGTAAAAGAGCTACTAAGGTAAGTAGAGTTTACTCGGAAGAAGTTCCCATACTCCACACTCACTTTGTGTTTTCCTCGTAAATCTCATTTTCCTCCATCATTATGCATGACATCAGGCACTCACCGATGAAGTTTTCCCCCCCAAAGCTTCAGGCCTAGGCTGTGGATGAGGTTGCTGAATTACCGGGCATAAAAACACACCCAAAAAAATTCTTTCCTTCATAGGTTTTCATTCAGTGGCTGTCAAGATGCGTTTTGCCGCAACACCCAAAGACAACTTCTTTCTATGGTTCAGATGAGGGTTTTGTACCCTAAAATAGGGGTATTTTAAGTTTTTGAAGATATCTTAATGCATAAAATAATAATAAATGAGCTGATATAGCATTTAAAAAGGTATACTTGATCAGTATCAACGTTCGAGATGATATGCATGTCATATATGTGCCTATATATGTCAGTTATCATTGTTCTAGTGTTTTATCCACGTCGGCTTGCATATCCCTTTTGCGGGCGCGATCTAATCGGTTATTGTGGTTAGCTGTTAAAAACTATTCATTGAATCTTAAGAAATATAGCTCTGACAGGGTATCCATTGATTCGGTTACCAATTCGAACCATTTGTATGCTTCTTCTTATTTTTCTTTGCCAGTAGAAAGAGTCTTAAGTTGCCTTACTCTGACTGGGTTTATAATGAGTTCGTGGTTCTATGTGTGCAGGGGCCTTTCATTTCTGCACTTTCTTATTTCTTTTTGATGTCTTTGCCCGCTTTCATGCAACAAGCACCTCCTACTTGCCACAACCTCTTCCTTCTCCACATCTGTCTTTAGTTTGGGGATTTTTTCAGGTTTTTTGTCTTGTGCACATTCCGTGAAAAATAAATCAACTTTCTGCGCATTGCTGACAGTTCCATGAAGGATATAAAAAGAACCAAGCAAAATGAGCGAAAACCCTTTTTAAACTCTCCGACAACACAAAAAGTAGTGCACCTTGTTGCCATTTTTTGAGGCATTTGCAACGTAGTTTTTGTTGAGTGATGCTTGTTCTGTGGATTTGTTTCATATTTTTGTTGTGTCGTTTGTGGCCTGGGGATATGTGAAGTTTTCCTTTTTATATTTACTCTGCGAATAAAATCTGCTTTATCTTGAAGGTTGAGGATGAGCGGATTAATTGAAGTTTATGTTGCAGTTTTTCTTGGTTTTTTGGCGGAGAATTTTTTTTTCAAATTACAAAGTTACAAATTTAAAATTTGTTTATTTAGCCAGAAATATAATTAATGTTGTTTTTTTTAAGCTTGAAGGACATTCGTCAGGCCTTCTTCAGACCCAAACAACTGCAGAATATTTCTAAGGTCACTGAGGCTGGAAATAGGTTCTCACTTTCCCTCATTGACGATTCCACCATAAGCTGTTAAAATTGGTTTGATCCCCAGCTTAGTTCCTATCTTGTTCAGTTTTCAGTCTCAAAGCAATACGAATTTTTGAGTTTTTCAAGCGAAATTTTTAGATAAATTTTAGCTGTTTTTGAATATATTATTACATTCTTAGTTGTATTCTTTGTATATGCTTTGGTTTATTCAAAATTTTTTTTTTAGTCTTATTTGGTCGTTTAGTTATGCAAATTAAATGCAATCAAATATGTCACATTTTTTGATTAACTTTTGTAGACAAATTTGACAACAGCTTTTAGCTTTTAGAATAATATATTTATATTTTTCTTTAAAACTTTCATTACAAACTGCTAGAGGAGAATTCCTACTAATTAAAAATAAATAAAAGCAATATTTTCAATTTAATCTCTAGCTGTGCTCGTGCTTTGATATTTGTCATCATCGTCCACACACAATAAATAATAAAGGGTAAGGAGCGCAGCAGCCTGGAATTTAATTGTTATGAGAACAAGGATTCCTGGATTTTACTGCTATGCGGAGAAGTGGGGCTGGGGGTATACTTTTGCGCCAACTTTTATCCAAGTTTATGAACAATTTTTGGTCATAAAGCGTCTGTCTGCGGTTCTGTTGCGGTTATTAATTTGAATTAAGTAGCGACCAATTCGTGGGGGAATGAAGAAGATGTAGAAGGATGAATGAGAATGGATGGGTGTGAGATTTTGGACTGTAATAAATAAAAGGAGCTTCCTGGATATAAAACTTGATTCCTTGGTATTGTTTGGGATTTTTTTTTCCCTCCTAAAATTGGATCATATGTTCTCTGTGTTCCATCGTAAGATTGCATATTTCTTTGGCTTATATTTTAATTTCCGCTCTTTTACCACTTGTTCCACTGGGAAGCAAATACATTTAATTTTTCCCTCAGGCTTTCAACAATTTAACTGGCAAGCGTACACACATAGAGCAGAGGGTTAAATGTTAGCACTAGCAGTACACTTAAAAAAGCAGCCTGCGGGTCACTGCACATAAACTTTATACAAAACTGAGAAGAGAAAGACAAAAAAAATTTGTCTTGCCGAGAGGTACCGAGTGTGGAACTACACATTACTGAGGGAAAACCAGAATATATAAAATACAGTAATTGAAATTGAAAAATGTACACAAATATATGTATAAAAATACAAAAGTATCTTCTTCTTTCGGTCTGCAAGGAATTGTCTAGTAAGTAACTTAAAAATAAGCTCCTAATATATATTTTAGGAATAAAATATATTTTAAAGTTTCAATTTAGTTGATTCAAAATCAAAAAACAAGTTTTGAATTGATTGAAACTAGCAGGGGCCTATCAAGTACTGTGTACACTATTTTTCTTAGCATATAATCACAGATGTAAAGCAGTTCTGTATTAAAAATCCTATTACTAAAATATAAACATTCTTGTATGCCTTAAAGACTCACAAAAACCCAGGAGGTCATTTTAACAGAAGTTAAAATGTAATGGATAGACATTTTAACTTCTGTTAAAATTACCTCCTTGCCAGGGTATCAAAATACTTGACGGCACCAAGTTCCACTGAAAAATGTGGAAAAATGCGATAAAATACCCAGGGTAGAAACGCAAAAATAAGGAAAATTTAAAAATCCAAGTACACACACACAAAAAAGGCAGAGGAGGAGAAAAAGAAAAGTTTCGACTTTTGCGAATATTACTTACCCGTCTCGCCGAGTTTTGTAGTTTGCTGCATATGCCGGCCAAAGTGCTCGTACTCCCCGCTTGATGGTGCCTGGGCCGCTTTCATTGCCTGCATGTGTTTCGTGAACGCGCCGACAATGGCCGCCATTCGATCGAAGGCCGCCATATTGATGTGGCCATTTTGTAAGCTGCACACACAAAAAGGAGAGGAGGTGGAAAGAACGAACGAACGAGTGAGTGGCAAAGAGTGAGAAAAGTATGTTTGCTCGATGATAAAAAGTCAGTGGGCTTTATTTACGACGCAAAATGGTGCAGGACTCAAATGTTCAAGGGGGATTGAGTTTAAAAGTGAAAAGAGATTTCTGACGAAAGGGTTCCGGGTACGGTTTCGGGGTGCAATTAATGCAGCGACGGCCCCTATTAATTAGCGCATTTAAAAGTCGATTTACGCTTCATTTCACTGTGAAACACAATGCGACATTGAAAACAGCTGAATGAATGAGTAAGAGTAGTTTCGGTTTCAGTGTAGTTGCGAGGTATTTATTGGCGGAAAGGTTATATTGTATTAGCGTGGATATTAGAGTAAAACACAATTTATGCTACGTTACAATGACAGAAGTGGATCATGTGGTTTTCTAACTAAATATTTCTGGAAAGCTTTCTTCTGGATTTGGATATAAAATGTAAAAGATATAAGATAAAATATATATAAAAAAATAAAATATATGATATAAAATAAAATGTCGGTATGTCTTATTCGACAGGAATTTCATCGTTTCCCTTTTTATGCTCTCAGATTATATTTTATTATATTTCAGTATAAAGTGCCGAGACTATTGTTTGCGTTTATAATTACTACCTACATATACATATGTATGTGCATATACGTATACTAGGACTCGTTTAGTGAGTTGACTGGTGTGCGTGCATGCCTAATTAGGTCAATTGTGACCACTGTACCCTGGTTGCCTATGTATATTTTATTGTTTGTTTCTGCTCGGTATCGTTTAGCGCAAAGGGACTGATTCGAATGACGGTGCTATTTTCGTGGGCATTTATATAGTTATCATGGGATGCATTAAATGACAAATTTTCATCAATGATGAACTAATTGATAGGAAACTGCACAGAAACCTATCTGGTTTCGCGGCATTTTAATTTAGTTTTCAATAAAGTTTCGCAATAATAAACAAGTAAATAAATCACACCCACAGAATAATTAATAGGAAACTCCAACTTTAAATTCGCTAAGCGACAATTAAAAATATCATAAAAACACGAGTACCATTAGCCTTGAAAATCTATTAACTTGTTTGTGCATCCCATAATTCCATCACAAACTTTAAAATAAATGATCCAAAATAAATAAAAAATATATATGAATGTATTTGCGTGTATTTATTGCCAGAGATTTCACTCTTCAACGCGTCCATTCAATGATATAAAAATAAATTATTTTAAAAAGAGAAAACCTATTTAAAGCCCTTTTTTACGAATTTAGTTGCCATACAAATTATTCATATCCTCATCGCTTGGCACATTATCATTTGTCTTGCCACTCTGCGGTTAATTAAATTTAAAACATACAAAAATTAAAATATAAATGTGCGGATGTATATTATATATATTTACAAACGTATTGCCAAACGAAAGCTAAGTGTGAAATGCAATTGCTTGTGGAGGCTGATGCGGATCCGTCAATAAAGTATTAATCATTCGACCCCTTGGCCAAGAGATTTATTCGCAACTGGATTTGGTGTGGCTTTTGTGTATTATAAATGCTGTTACACGATACTTTTTCTGCCGATGTGGCTTTAGGTAAATTTTCTCTATGAAAGACATCGATTAAATTGGACATACTAGCATTTTTTCGTGTAAAAATATATGATTTTAACTCCATTCGATTTTGGCTTTTGGTGGTTTATTTAATGTGCTACGATTTTACGGGATCTTGAATTTTTCTCGTCGGTGGAAAATGTATCGTTTAACATCAGGTTAAGTAATGATGTTACATCAATCAACTTACCACTGCAAACAGTTCTCACGTTCGCCCAATGCCAATTTAACAATATCCGCAAACACTGGAATAACAACCCAATCATTGGGTTTGCCCAATTCCGTTCCCGTTAATGGTGTGGCAGGGGATGATGTTGGTGGCTGCTCCGCATTGCTGTTGCCAGCCGCAGGCACTGTCCCTGTTTCCGGTGCCGACATTGCATTCATCCCGGAAGTGCCTGTTAGGCGAACTGGTCGCCCACTCGCACTCGTACTTGTCGACGGTCTCTCATCTAAGTCCATTAATGTGGTAGCTCCTCCTCCAGATGCTTTTGATGCTCCTTGACCTCGTATTGATGCGGATAGCTTTTCCTTAGCCTGCTCATCAGTCTTGAGACTTTGTGGTTGGCCCTGTTCATTTAAGACGATTGCCTGTTTCTGCCACAAATGACCATGTCCCTCGGCATGTCGCTGCATGCAATCCAATTGTTGGCACGTCACTTGCAATTTGCTCCACTGTAATCAAATCGAAATCCATAAATGAACATCATTTGTAGTTGTAATCTTGATACGACGCGACCCCACTCTGTTCCGACTTTCCCAACATTTTATTTGCTTTGTGTTTTTTAATTTCCTTCTTGTTTTCTGTTGTGTGATTGTGTGTTGTAAAAGTTTATGGTTTTGTTTGTTCTGTTTGTGTGACTTTTATGTTTGTAATTTGCTTAAAAAGCTTTAGATCGAATTTTATGAGCGACATTTGGTCTCTCAATGATAACATATTAATAAGGGGCATCAAGGAAATACCACTCGGGGGTTTTTTATTCATTAAATGGTGTGACCAAAATGCTGGGACATACTAAAAGTTTTCAGATATTTATTTGGATTTCATTGAAGTAAGACTTTCTTTTGTGAGCGAAAGGGAGGACCTACTCGTTAAGAAGAAAATGTTTATTTTTTGCTGTTAATTTACATTTTTCTTTGAAAACCTCTCACTTTTATTTGTGGCTACAGTCAGCAACACTTTTGCCATCGCCCAATAGACACTCATAAAAATGCCAGCAACCACTATAGAAATATATAATTACATATACAGACAAATCTGGAACACAATACATCCAGACACGCCCTCGCACCAGAACTATCCACAGCTAACATTTTGTATAGTTCTGTAAATTGATTAAAGTCCCTTGCATTTCGTATTAAGAGCGGGAGTTCCCTTTTTTCACGCAGCGCGTTACACACATTTCAGCGACCATCATTTCCAGGGCAATGTTACAGGGCGTTATACAATTTATGACCAACGAAATGCAACAACAGTGAGAATTTTAAATTAAAGAAGGGAAAGTCTGGCGAAAGCCAGAAGCACATCTATGTGTGATGAAAAGGCTTGCAGCTGATGATTGAAGTTTATTTCTTTAGACTTCGCCATGCTTGCATCTTCCAGGTAACACCAATATAATCCCCACAAAAGGCTTTAAAAATAAGATAGTGAGTGCCAACCCGAATACCGTAATAAACATATGTGACGCACCAAATATACAACTTTATAATGAATAAAATACACGACAAAGATATTTAATGCCAAAAATATGAGCAGTAAGTAACTTTTAACTTGATTTGTTCTTCGACCATATTTATAAATGGCAAAAGGAAGGCAAAAATGTGCCGGAAACAAAGAGAAAAGGCGCGCAGAAAAGTATGAACTAAAAAAACGCGGAGTCCATTAACTAATTAAAAAGTTTTTTAATGAAAACTAGCTTCATTTGCCGCTGAATGAACGGCATCATGCTGCGGTGTGCTGAAAAGATGGCAACGGTCAAAAGGTGTGTGCGATGTGCCAAAAATGTAGGTGTTGCCATAGCCTTATTCGTACAGCACTTTTTTTTCGAGACGTGAACCTTTGTGAAATTAAACAAGAAGAGGAAACAAGAGAAGGCCAAAAAACTTTCGTTGTTATTTCAATATGGCACAGAAAATGTGACAGAGATGGAGGCCAGACTTAATGGCTAATTAAATTTGTCTTATATCTTTAATAAAAAATTCCCATGTGAAAGTTTAATTAAAGAGCCTAAAACAATGGGAGACAAAATCTTACTTATATTTACAAAAGATTATTGCCAATAAAATCAATATAGTTCAATTGGAGTGTGAACAAATACCATTTAGGGGGAAAACGAGAATATTACTTTGGTAATATTTAATATAATTTTTAGTTTTATTTTATGCTTTATCCTAACGCTACAAGTTATTAATTAAATAATAAATTCAATATTTAACTAACAACCGACGGACCAGAACCCGAACATGGCACGAAATCTTTTAAGCTCCTTTCCGCCAAAATTCATTAGGCTGCATAAAAATCTGCTGACACGAAAAAAAAATCCTGGGTATCGGGTCTAGCATCGAGACGAAAAGATTTGTTTAAAATTCAAACACACACATAAAAAGACTAAAAGAAAATGATGGACCAAAGAGAAAAAGGAAATTTTCTTGAGGCAAAGGACTCTTTTGGCTTGCATTGTGGATGAGAATCTTTATGTTTATGCCCTTGCTAAGGGGAGTACGATTTTTAATGGAAGTTTGTTATGCATATAAGAAAAATTCAATCCGACGACAGGATGACAGATAAAAGTGATTACGATCGGTATTTAATTTATTTTATTTATTTCTGCCGTTTTCTATGTCTTCTTTGAGACGACTATAACAATACGAATGTATATATTCCTTGACAATACATTTAGCTTAGCTTAAGTCTTTGAGTTCATGGTTCTCCAATTATTATTCATTTGTGTTAAAAATAGAAAATAGAACTGAGACCTTGGAAAGTTAAGAAATTGGGAAATAATGTTAATATACTCGCGCTTTGAGTGACGAAGACTTAGTTTCTGTGTAAATTAGTTTTGTTTATATGAAAAAATATCTTATAATGTTGAAGCAGTAAATTTCTTGAAGAGTGTTTAAAACATTTCAAGAAATATGTAGAGGGGTTGAAAGCTGTGTAGTTGCTTTGTACTTCCATGGGTTGATCAAAGGGGGAACATGTGCAGAAATGTAAATTTGGTACACGAGGTGCTGTTCAAAATTTGAATTAGTTAAAGGATTTCATTTAGTAAATTAAATTTTTTAATTTTATTTGTACATGAATTGCAAGTGATATTAGTTTCTGCATTTTTATTGCAGAAACAAAATAAATGCCACATATATTATAAATTTGTTTCTGACATAAATTAGGAGTGTTTTCATTTTAACTGTAAATTTACTCAGCATATTAGGGTAATTATCGACCATAGCGTTTGACAGTTGATTCGGGTTTTGACTCACCGTGATTTTCAGCCTCGCTATCGCGGGTGATTCTAGAGATTCCAGAATGGCTGTGGCGCTATTGTAGTTGCCCACAAGCAGACAATACTGGGCCACGCCACTCCAGCGCTCAACGGTGCGACTCCGGTCCTCGATGCCACCACACTGGAATGGTGATGGTTCAGGCAGAGAGATGTCCCAAGGTGCAGGATTCGAAATGAAAGATTTATTTGATTACGGAAGTTAGTTAGACGTTGCCAATAGATGGTTCGAGCGAGTGAAGGCGAGCAACGACCTACGGGAAAGGATGGACCCACGTGACTTGGCTGAAGTTTTAACGAGTCGCCTACATGGACAACTGGCAAACTGTCAATGAGTCAGTTACGAGCGGCATAAATTATAAGCCATCTCGCCTGGCTGCCTACCCCACTGCCTGACTCCTGATATTCCATGCAAAGTCATATGAGTCCGGGGACGTGGTCCTGGACACGTAGTGCTCTGCATGTTCAGCATGCATGGGAATTTTAATTCAATCCACAGGGTCTAAGGATTCATGCGCTACGTTTAACTTGAGCACCGTGCCTGGTCTGACATGCTGGTTTGGGTCAGAACTGGACTGGAGCAGAGTGCTGAGCCCCACATGGTTATGAACCCATTTTCTGCGGCTCCTCCTGTATACCCTTGCTCACCTGCAGTATCTCATTGCAAACAAACAGACGCAGACGTGCCGACCAATCCAGATACGTTTCCAGGTTGCAAGTCTTCTTTGGATCCTGTGCACCGGGCGGTCCACCCGATGAGGATGGTTGGTCCCATTTCTTCTGCATTAAATAAATCGCAAAACAAGAGAGAATGCTATAGTGAAGGGTTTCGATATCGAGATATCCATCAATTAGATCGGAAATCATATATCCAAGACCTGCCCACCTATGCAGAATATGGGGGAAAATGTTTTTTTTTTTTTTTGTTTTGTTTTTTTTTGTTTTGATAAATGGATGAATCACTAATGAATCTAGTTTCTTCATTGACAGTAACCTATGACCTTTAGCTTTTAATAGGTTCACATATATACGTTTGCATAATATGCAATTTGTCAAAAGTTAAGAGGCAAAAACAAAACTATGCACACAACCGGCACCTTTCCCATACAATAAACCCTACAGCTACTGGGTATATCCAGGTTAAAAGAAAATTTCTGTTGAAATGAGGTGGTAACTGCAGAGGAGTGGATTGGAGCGAGGCCCTGCAGGGGGAGAATTGTTAATGAAGCTGCTTGTCATCATTTTAATTGCATGTCCTTGTAAGTGAGTATAAGTATGAGTGTATATATGAGTGCTTGGGTGTTTGTTTGAGTGTGTATGAGTGTTCTCCATGTAATTTATGCAAAAGTGCAGATTGTTCTTACGGTTAATGTTGACTTTTGCAGAGGGAAACATTTACAATTGAGCGAACATTTAAGTTCAAGAATACGCGTATAATTTAATTAAGACAGAATAATATGCGGTTTTCTTGTACTGTTCATTTAAGATATTGTTTGAAGATTTGAGATCTATTAAATGTTGGGGTTCAGGAATACAGCATCTGTTTGAGTGCAGATTCATGTAAGTTGGAGTGTTCACCGATCAAAGTGGTTTCAAAATGTCAAAGAACCTATTTACAACACATCTTCATTCAATTCTGGATTACATTGGGATTGACTTCTTAAAGAGTAATTGCTTTTTTTGTTGTTTACTCAATTAAGATTCAGTTATCAATCTTTTCAGAAAATCTGCATGCTCCTTCTTGAGCCTGGAATTGTTGCCAGTACTTACCTGTTTATCCAACAGAATCATGCTGCTGCACTGCAGAAATTCCTCGCCGCCAATGTGCTTGGCTAATTTCTTCTCCAGCCGGCAGACGATTTGTGCGTATTGCGTAGCAGTCGAACACTTGAATGTTGTTTCGACAACGATCTGGAGCAGGCACCCAAAAAAGAGTCCAAAGAGTGGAAAACAAGACAATGATTTAAAATGAAGATTAGGCAGATTGCTCTTTCAGGGGTCCGCATCCACTTACCTTTTCGGTAGTGCTGTTGGTCTGCTGGCAAGCACGGAGGTCGGCCTCATGTCTCTCTAAATCAGTCAAACGTTTTAGTAAGGCACTCAGTGTCTGGGAGACATCGGCTTCCAAATGCGAATTGGAACATCTGAATGAGGGAGATTGAGTTCAAGTGGTTTTATTGTTGAGTTCATGACGAAGGAAATGTAGTTTTCTTCTGCTCACCTGGCAACGATATGCTTGACATGGCTCATCATGCGCTCATCCCTGTAGTCGTAGGGGAACTTCATTGTCCACTCGGCCAAGAGGGCTACTAATGATTCTAAACATTTGCTTTCAGGTACCGAGTCCAATAGTTTCCCCAGGAGTTCATAGGGACGCAGAAATAAGCGTGACGATAATAAAAACGAGAATACAAATTCCTGCAACCAAATAAAAAAAAATCAATTAACATTTATCCACGCAGCTTAATAAAAATGAGGGAACGATATAGTCGAGTTGATAGACATTGTGATAACCAAAAAAAAGCTCTGCTGTGTTTCTTTTTCTCACTGTAGTAGGAGTGTAGTAATTTCTGGTCTCTGAGACGCAGATAAAATACGGATAGGGTTTTTGAAGGCTGAAGAAGTTTCAGAAATTATTTTTGTCGTATTGCAAACATCTAGACAAAATAAAAGTACCCTTGAGCATAAGGTATACCAAATGTTGATCTTATAGTTGGAAGATGTCGGCAATTAGCTTTAATCGTTGTTGTTATTGCTATGCTTTACCCAAGTTTTCTTTTGCCGAAAGGCATCGACTATCATCTCTATCAAATTAGCACTAATCTTTGGATTTGTTTGCAATGAATTAATTATTTTCCTACTAGGTCCTTGTTGGATTGCCCTTGTATCCTGTATTCAGTCCCATGTTTTGTTTGTCCTTTGGGTGTGTCTGCGTTTGGGTCTTGAGGTTGGCTTTGGCGTTGGTTTTGGTTTTGGGTGCGGGAAAGGGGTCTGTTGGACCGTTGGCTGCCTTTTGGCTTGTGGTTTTTTGGCTGGTGCCAGAAAAATCAACTTGGCAGCTATTCAAGAGCTTTAAGCGTTTGCGCATAAGTAGGAACTGATTTTTACTCCATTTGCAGTTTACAATATAGGAGTTGCTTGTAACCACAATTTTTTGGATAGTTACATTTAACAGGAAGTAGTTTAAAATAACAAGGAAAATTCTTTAAGATCTATAAAAGATTTAAGCTCTGCTTTAAGTTTAAGAATTTGACCAATTAACAATCTATGATTTTTGCCAGATATCGTTCATTACATATTCATGATTTTACCACCTATTTTTTGTATTCGTAAAATATTTTTTTTTTGCACATAAATATTCATTTTTCACTTTCCATTTTTTTGCTTATTTCTTTTAAATCCGAATTAGTTACAAAATGTAAGAGCAGAGATGATTCTTACCTTATCTAAGTCGATGACATTCTTGGGTATGAGCGCCTCGATGAGGGAGTCCAATGGCCCAGAAACTATTCTACCATTTATGTACATTATGCCACCAGAACCCAAAAACGAGCTCTGTCAAAAAGTATGCAAACAGTCAATATATTTTTTCTTAGATTAAAAATTTGTTTTCTCGAGTGGAAATAAGCTAAAATAAATAATAATAAAACCAATTTACTTAGCAAATTAAATGATGGTTCCAAATTCCATTTGGCAAAACATTATGCTTAATTACCTCAAAATTAATATCACATTGGCTGCGTTTGTGCGGATTTTTGGGTACATCGTACTGAACCACATCGTCACCGAAACCCACACGGTTGTGCCCAACCGATTTTGCGGCTAGCTGCATACAAACAAAGTGAAAATTAATGGATAATAAAGTGTCTGGTCCGTCCTCAAAATGTGTGTACATGGATGTTTTCCAGAAGTCGGAATTAAATGTTAAAATGTGAATTTAGGGGAATAATTAAATAAGATTTCCCTGTCGTTTATTTGTGAAAATATTTAACTATTCAAAGGAAAAATGCTTTGAATCTTTTTAAGTAATTTTAATTTTGTTATCTTGGGATTGATAGTAATATTCAAGTTTTTATTTTTATTTAAAAAATTTTTTTTAGAGGTTGCTACCGAATTAAAAAAAAATTTGGAAAAAACAAAAAAAATTTGTTTTGCTGAATGAATTGAATAATGTGGTGAAATCTATCGCATATATATTGATAGCATTAATACCGACATTATTAAGTTATTGGCAGTAAAAGCCTGCATAAGTTTTTGCGAACAAGCTAACTAAATAAATAAAACTAAAAAAATATATCAACCTCAGCTGAACTTCCAGATTTTCACCAATCGTTAATTTTTTAGCAGTAACTAAACAAACATTTTTTTTTATTATTATTATGAACTAGTTTCTAAGTTTCAATATTATTTGAAAACGAGAAGGAACGTGTGAGTCGCTTCTGGGGGCGCGACTTTACTTATAACCGTACTCAGTCAGTATATACATTTTTGAGCTTATGATTTTTTAGATTTTAGAATTTAAAAAAAAAGTACATATAACATTTTTTGCTACACTTGTTATCAACATCTACAATGTATATTATGCATCTAACATGTACATTCTATATGTACCATTTAGATTCTTCATCTCCTCCGCTAGAGGGCGCTCGCGTACTTACCGAGGCAGAGTGTGCAAGCGAGAAAGAGAAAGAGTAGCGGGTCTCTTGATGAAGTAAGCGGGGGAGGCAACTGATAATTAATTTCTTCATTCTGGCTATAATTATTATCCGATCTGATTGAGATTGCGTACCCCTTAACTCTTTTTGAGTACGGGTATAAAAACCGACCAATTTAAATTTTGTATACCTGTACTCAAAAAGAGTTAAGGGGTATATTAGATTTGTGGTAAAAGTGGATGTGTGTAACGAAGAGAAAGAAACGTTTCCGACCCCATAAAGTATATATATTCTTGATCAGCATCATGTCTGTCTGTCCGTCCGTCTGTCCGTCTTGTTGAGCGCCTAGATCTCAGAGACTATAAGAGTTAGGGTAACCAAATTTGGTTTCCAGACTCATGTGATATCACACTGCTACAAGTGTATTTCAAAATTTCGCCCCGCCCCCTTCCGCCACCACAAAGGACGTAAATCTGTGGCGGGCACAATTTTAAAGATACGATAAAATTAAAAACGCAATATAGTAGAGACTATCTAACATATTTTTTTTTTTCTTTTAAATATTCTCAAAAAATTAGTAAGCCCAAAAATTTATAAACTGACTGAGTACGGATTTAAGGAGAGCGCCCCAAAAGCGACTCACGTTCCTTCTCGCTTGTAATGTATATTTAACCAAAAAAGTGTATTTTCTTTTCGTGGTAGCAACCGCCAATATAATATTAATTTTATTTACTAACAAAGAACAGAATAAAGAAAATAAAAATTATTATATATGGATCAAACTTTGGCCCAGCCTAATGTATATGTTGTTGAGGAAAACATCCTTTCGATAAATAAAATGCTCAAAAAACTATAAAAATTAACAAAATAGATTTAAAGAACATCAATTGCTTTCGCGTTGCTCTTAGGGTGCAGAAGCACTTTGAAACACCATCGAATGAAATGAATGAAAAATGATTTAACAATGGAATTAGGAGTCCCCTAGTAATCACTCACCTCGATTTGCTGAAACCCCATTTCCAAGTCATATGCACTGAGCTGCTCCGCGCTGTGTCGCCGCCTGTAGCGTATGCCCAAGCTCCCTGGGCCGACGCCAAGGAAAGCTGTCTCCGCTGTCAGATTGCCGGCATCCAGAGAGAAAACGCCATCATTTGTCGCCTCCAGAGATGGAACCGGCTCGTTCTCCAGGCAGCACTCGTCGCTGTCGGAGCTGCTGCTACTGCTGGGGTGGCGGCAGCGACGACGCCGACGGTGGCGACATTTGTCGCGATCCCGCTGGCCGCGCGATTTTTCCAGCACTGTTTGCTTGCAACGCATGCCGCAGGCCATGGCGGATATCTTACTGGCATAAAAGTACATCGCCATGTGTCACGTTCGGGCAGCCGCTCCTGACGCGGTCATGTGTGTGGGTTAGTTGCTTCTGGGTTGGTGTGTCCCCCTCGGACTGGCTCCTCTTCTTGTTTAATGCATGAGCACGGATCGGGCTGGTGAAAAGTTACCCTTCTCCATGGCTGGACACGCAGGTGACAGTGAGGGTGTGTGTCATGCAATCAAACGTCAATTTCGTGAAGGATTAGATGTTCGCCTGCCGGGCGCATTCTCGCATTCCGTTTAAATCCTTTGGGGTAGGCTTAGTTGACACATCATTCCCTTTATCGTTCCCCGATTTACCAATTTTCACACCGGTAAGATTAGTTCTTGGCTTTTCCCCACTTCCTGAAACAGAAAAAAGAGCCAAATCAAAAATGGAGTCAGGGAAATACTCTCTGCCCACTTGGCGTCAACACATCAACTTTACGGTCAATCGCAGCACATTGCTCATACGCCGTTTGGCCCTCGCACAAGTGCTCAAATCACTGGCCTTGTCCTATAGCTGCCTCAGTGTGTGTGGTGGTTATGGTTAGGGTTATTATCCCTTTCGGCCCAAGTCAATAAGGGCGTAACCGAAACGTCCTGATGGGAAGGAAGAGGACAGCTGCCTTTTACTTGGGTCGATGGCAATCATTAAATCACTGCAGATGCGTTAAGGCTAAGCAAGATCTGATTTATACAAAAAAAAATAGTCAATGATGTATAGATTGGTTAGGTCAAGCTTATAAATGAATAAACATTTTTGGCCTTGATTTTTCCTTGAATAGAGTAAAAGATGTTAATGGACTCTATACTTTGCTCCTTTGGTTATTAAATATGAGCTCTGCACTTTATCCAGATAAAGTATACAAATATGTAATCTTTTGGGGCTGTTTTTGTGTCCGTATGCATATTGATTTATGGTGGTGTTCCGGTTAGGGGTCAAAAGCATTCAATATTTGTGATATTTATATTTGTGGGATGAACGAATATTCACTACATCAATAAAGAGTCGAAAGAGAATTATTTCTCTCCCAAAGTCATTGAAGTTCTTTCCCCTTTTATCGTGCTCTGTCGTTTCATTCACGGCATTAAATGCACAGTTTAATCCTTCTCAGAAAACAACCTTGAAGCCCTCTGCGAAGCAGAAACGAATTAAAAAACGGAAATAATACGGGTATCAACAGGCTTGCCGGTGAAACTGTTTCATATATTATGAGGGGATTTTCACGTGTGCGAAAATTTCGATGCATTCCATTAAATAAATAAGAAATCCGAAGCAGTTGGTCTTAATGGAGATTAGCCACGCACAAAAGATAACGAGAGCTCGGCAGAGAGCAGCATCAAATGTGTGAAATATCCATTAAATAATAAATATATGCAGACACATAAATTGCCGATATTCCTATTGAGAGTGCACTCACGCACCTGTCCGGCAACTGTTGCTTTGCCTCGAAGGTTTCCAATCCGGTGCCGGAAGAAGAAATCGATCCAAAATCAGAGCAATATCTGGAGTTTACTTGACCCTATGCTCTTTTGATCTGCGTAAGATTCATTTTCTTTGACAGCTTAGCAAGGCATCAAATGTTGCGTCACTCACAAATATCCAATTAAGGAAACCAGATTCATGTGTTGGTCAGAGTCTCTTTATCTTTTGCATACTATATTTACTTGGGACTGTCTCCGATTTGTTCATTACATAAGCCATGCATAATAAATAATTTCTGTGTACAATCTGCATTTCAATGGTGGCTATTCCCAGTCAGATCAGAAATGGGATTACAGGCTTAGTGGTTCAACAAATATGAGGTATATATATGTATATGAAATGAATTTAGTCAATTTGTAAATAGTCAAAGTGAAACATGAGATAGCTTTGAGTGGGGATCTCCGAATGTTTGTGCAATAGTCATTCAAAATATTTTTTGAGAGAAAGCTACCAGCTAAACCTACGCATGTTGGACAAGCCACATTTACATTAGAAAATGGATAAATGTTGCAAGAAACCATCAAACTGCATAATCCAGTCAACAGTTGTGAAATTGCAATTGAAGAGAAAATGTGAAAGGGAGAATGTGCTAAAAGAAATGTTCGAACTATAACATCCTAATTGCTTAAATTTACTTTACATTTGAATTCCCTTAAAGAGGATATTATGATTTTGGTTATATGTACGTTTGCAACAAACAAAATAAAGTATTTTCAAATTGAAATATTTTTTTTTTTCAATTATGTCGGTCAATTTCTCTTTTTCTGGGAGAAAAAGTTAAAATCGACAAGATTGGACCAAAGATGGATCAAAACCTTTCCTATATCTGAGATAGGAATATCTATAAAAGAACATGTTCCAAATTATCTTCAACGCTTACGAACACAGTAAAATATAGGTACCAAAAAGGTTATAGTATGGTAAGCACAAAAACTGACTCTGTTTAGGTTCGGAATTTAGTAAACCCTTTCCTGGTTATTTAAAAGATAAACACTTTTGGAAAATTAAATTTTTTCTTTTTAAATTATTGTATCTATTTATACGCTTGTGAAGGATTCAATAATTTTATAATTTTATATTTTATATTGCTGTTGGAAAATAGTGATAAAATACTATTTCATTTGAAACAACTCAAATCAGTATCAGACTGCTATTTGAAATCATTGAATTGTTTCTAGAATAACCTTGTAACCAATAAATAAACTTTTTTTTTAACTTTCCAGATTTATTTATTTCAGTCTATGGTGTTATAGAGTATACAAGCTGCGTCATATTATATGGGTTTAGTTTTCCTCTTCTTCTTTTACATAAGCATTCATACATATTTATATGTACCATGTACATATATGTAAATTAAAACGAGAAGGAACGTGTGAGTCGCTTCTGGGGACGCGACTCTACTTATACCCGTACTCAGTCAGTATAAATGTATACATTTTTGAGCATGATTTTTTAGAATTTTAGAATTAAAAAAAAAATTTTACATTTTACATTTTTTTGCTACATATGATATCTGCACTACAAATACAATGTATATCTACATCTAACATGTAGTTGTACATGTTCCAATTGATTCTATCCCCGCTAGGGGTTGCTCGGGCACTGAACGCGGCAGAATGTGCGGCGGAGGAAAATGGATCGTTGTCGTCGGTGGGGGGGGGGGAAGCAACTGAATATTTCTCATTCTGGCTATTTATGCCGTCTGTTCAAATTTGGCAATCTGGTGTATGGGCCTCTACGATACTGCGTTTAGTTTTATCGTATTTTTTTGTGCCTGCCGCATTTTCGTCCATTGTGGGGCGGAAGTGGGCGGGGCGAAATCTGATACACTGGCGTGGTCACAGGTCTGGAACCAAATTTGGTTTCGCTAGCTTTTTGCTTGACCAGGCGCTCATCGGACGGACAGACGGCAGACGGCGGACGGCGGCGGAGGGCGGCGGCAGACAGGCTACGACTCGGCTATTGTGCTGCGATTATATCTTTTGGGGTCGGATTTTCCTCTCTCGTTACACACACCACTTTTACCACAACTAATATACCCCTACCTTTTTTGAGTACGGGTATAAAAATGTAATATTTTTTTTGTACTATTTATATGAACACGGCTGTATTTACATTTGGTATTGCCTGCATTTTAGGGCAGTATCATGCTCAAGTGAGCGTAACAAAGGCGGAACACACACAAAACTTATGATATATACTCGAATTTGACAAAAACTTGTACACAGTTAACTACAAGTTATGCCTGCACGCCCACATCTTTCTGAACAACCTTGCATTGTTGGGCTAAAGACAAAAAAAAAAACGAAATATATCTTTCTTTCTTATTCTTTTTTTTTTGGGACAGAGGCTTATTATAATTCCAACCATGTCGACCGACAGCAGGCTAAAATCTATGCGGAAGGCTGGCCAATGAAATGTTTTCAATTTATATATTGACAACGCAAAGTTCTTATTTTATTTTGTGGATGATATTAAGTGCCTCAGGAGAAGGGTGGGATATAGTGGATATGGAGGCAGGGACAGGGTCCTGCAGTGCCTTGGGAAAAGCAAAATATATCGAAGAATGTAAAGCAGGGAAATATATATGTGACTAACAAATTTTATTACGTTTAAATGCCCATTACTGATGCCGTTTTCTACAATCTTATGGTAGAAAAAAAGAGGCACACATACCCAAAACAAAATTGAACAATTATATTGGATACGGTAAGCATTTTAGAAAAATGTCGGTAAGCGAATATTAAATTAAGTATAATTTCTCGGAAAGAAGAACATTCAACAAGCCGCAAAAAATGACCGCAAAAAAAGCTGATTGCTGCATTTGTTGTTCGTTTCATGGTTATCCCTCCTTGACCGGGTATGCCTTCCCCCCATTGTGAATTTGTATTATTACTAATATAAGAGGAGGATAATTCTACGGAATGCAGCCAGCTGTTTTTGCTTAGTCCACCACAAATGGATTAAATTAGTCTCTGTTCATGTGCCATGGCATGCGATTGAGTGAATAGAATTTTAACCACAGCACACTGTTAATAATCATCCTCAATAATTTGAAATATTTTCAGCTTGATTGTGAATACTTGAAACTCTCGAAGGCTTTGCCAATTTTAGGACCAATCTGAACTTAACTACAGTCCAAACAAGTCCCAGTAGACAGTTGGTGGTTTGGGGACAAGGAGCAGCTGCTGCAAGTGTCCTCAAATCTATTAGCATAAAACTGATAAAAATAAACTGATGTTGTTGTCGCTGTTGTCAACAAGCAGCAGTTGTCAACATGTTTTCTGTGATTAAAGTTAATTGGTTAATGAAATATTTTAGGTGAAGTTATGAAATTCAATGTTATTCCATTTATAACTTCGATTCCTTCGCTTCACTTCGAATTAATTTGATTGTTTTTCCCGTTTTCCATTAGTATTTAATTTTATCCGCTTGCAGTTTGCGTATATTCACTTTGCTTGCTTTCTGTGTTCCAGAGTTGTTTTCCTCGGATTTAAAATAAATTATAATTTTGTTTTTTGTTCAGCTCTGAAGTTATTTATTTGCGTGGTTTCGTCACTTGGATACTCACATTTGCAACATTTTATATTTATCACTTTATTGAATTTTTCAGACAGTCGACTGTCGACTGCAGTCGTTACTTTTATTCAGCAAATGCTTTTTCGGATATTTATGTATGCCACACATATACATTATTTATTATACAATTCAGCAAAATTAAATAACTATTTATTTTGGATATTTACAAAAATGGTAAATCAGAACTATGCATGAATATGGGGAAAGATGGGAAAAGAGTTGGGGGAAATGCTATGGAAATGATTTGTCATGCATTGGAGCTTAATGGGAGTAAAAATTGATTAGGATTACCTTTAATGCTTTTAAATCTTTCTTATCTTAAAGCCATACACTTCAGAAAACTTCAGGAAACAAAAAATATATACTAAATAAATTGTCATTTAAAGTTCATAGATATCTGTTGTTAGTCTTTCTTCTCACGAAACCATTATTCCATCATTTTAACCCCTTGCACAGACAAAGTGCTTAAATTAAATACAGCTTTTGTGTACTCCTCACTTTCAGTTTCACTTTTTTCCTGTTGCGTTGGACAATCAGTATTTACATTAGATTTAATAAGCTTTTTTACGCTTTTGTCTGCGGACTGAACTGAGGAAACGTGCGCTAATAAAAGTCCCTTTCAAATTACATTGACATTGTCTCCGAGCTTGTTAACTTGGCACCATTTGTAAGGTTTTAATGAAGGAAAAGTTAAAAAGCACTTTTCACTTGATTTTTTCCTGGCTCCCAAGCACAACAGCACGATACCATCCCATCTATGCCCCATTTTCCAGCATGGCTAGAAACAGATTAAAAAAAAAAATTAACACAAAATAGCAAGACAGCAAGTTGTGGGGAAGTGACTCGACAAAGGAATACTTGGTATTCAAATGCTATTGGGAATGTGCTTCAGATCTATGTTTCTATAAAACTCCAGATAAATACTCTAAGTTTGTATATGTGGAAAGACGGAATAAATGCCTTTTTCGCCAGGAAAAATGTCTTTCTTCCTATGTTTCTAAGAATGTTAAATAAAAGTAATATGGGATCGAAACCGCTTCTGTCTGCCTGTTACATTTACTTTGACAACTACAGTGTAGTTTTTCACTTCATGTAGGTTAAAAAACTGGAAAAATTAAGTAAAAAAGCGACAAGAAAACTGTCATAAGAGTGGCGTAAGATAAAAACCGATATTAAATTACTTTGACTTTCGATGCTGGACCGTAAAATAACGCATTTGGGTCAGCTCTAAACTGTGAGGGAGAGTTTCCCGCTTCCACCAGGATCCTATGCACACCTTGATGTGAGTTCTCCCGAAATTAATACAATGCCAGCGACAACAAAATTTATTTGATGACTTTTTAATTTTTTTATCAGATACTTTATTACAATCACACCGCATCGACCAGGCCCACAACCAGGCGACCGCAACAAAACCAAAACCCAAACCATGCTAATTTCTTATCCATCACTTTATATGGCAGCCGTAAAAAAACGAAAGTCGGCTTGAAGTCTGAAAGCATTTTAGCATCATCATCAATCTCTTTGGCCAGAATGTTAGTAACTGCATTGCCAGGACAATTGACAAAGTGATGATGGGCTTCTGCCACTATGGCGGATAAGTTTATGCAAATGCATCTGGGATCGGTTCAGCTGGCTTTGGAATAAGGAAATTAGCCTTGAGGGGGAAAAACGGCACACATTGTTTTAGTATGTAGAAATGTTTAAAATAAAACATTAAGTTAGACTGAAAAGAGACGAGCGATTATATTTGGGCTTCATCTATATTACATTTTGCTTCTTTTTAGGAATAGAAAACCCAAAAGAAAATGATTAAGCTACGTAGTACGTACATAAAATAAATTGAATATCAATTGGTAACTTAAACTTCTTGTATTAGTATGTCTTGAGCATTTCTTATTTTTATCAAAAGTATATTTTGTAGATTTGTAGAGATAACTCGACACTTCCTTAGAATCTCGCATTAGAAACATGCCTTGTTGTATACAATAATGCACTTATTGTTCAGCCGCAAAATGCATTATCATAAGACCATTGTAATAAGCACTCATTGTCCTTGAACAATGGTCTGAGTATCCAAACAATTGCATTATAACTATGTAAGCCGAACAGTTTGCGTATCAAGTTTGCGGCGCCACAGAGACTCCACCTAGTATTGGTACTTAACTGAATTTCATCAATTAATTATTTTCTCTGGCACATTTTTACATGTACTTAAAGATGACACAGACGGAACACACTCGTGGAAATTCAACCACTCAATTCAACTTAATTCATTTCATTAATTGAAAATGCATTACTGTTTAACAGCCATAAGTAAATGAGATCCAATGTCCGAGCTTCATTTTGCAAGCGGAAATGGGAACTATAAGCCAACGGCAACCACAACACCGAAAACAGCAAATAAATGCTCGGGGATATATCCGAAAAAGACTATCGCGACTGTGGCAAACCAGTTTGGGACACATATTGGGAATCGGAGTCAATGAGGCACCCAACATTATCGACATTGCCGGTTAACGGTAACTGTAATGTTAAAATGTTGGCAGAAACTCGTAAATTATACAAAATTTTCGAGAAGAACAGCGCGTGAGTTGGTTTCCCAGATAGGGTGCATTGGCTTTGTTTATCGATTGTAAATTTTTTTTTTTTACTGTGTGAATATAAACTGAATAAAAGAAGCGTAGGTAAGCGAAGCTGTGGGCACTCTTTCAGATCAAAAATCATTGCAATAAATGGTTTCTCGACCAATTATTTTCATTGTGAAGCTATGACAATTGCCTAAAATGTTTGGTTTTTTAAGAAAAAATCAAAACGGAGTTTTCTATTCAGGAAGGAATACTTGAATACTGATGAAATTCAGTTAAGTACTAATACTAGGTGGAATCTCTGTTGCGATGTCAAGGACATCGGCTTTATTATCTCGCGTGTGAGTTATAATAAATAATGAAAATAGTTTATAAGTTCACAAGTTCATTCTTCTTTTTGTTGCAAAACTATCTCAATAACCTCTGCAAGTGTATAAAGACAGAAAATTCCTCTCATTTGGGCGAATGTGTGTGAGTTCTCAAATTGCAAGTTAATCGAACGTTGCATACTTATTGGCGCATCCAGTCATGCGGAACCAAATGCGATACTACTTATTTATGCGAGGAACATTTTCAGCAGTTTAAATTCATATTTATTGATTTTTTTCAGAAATCGACACATTCCTTTACGGTTCTCATGGCTGCTGACAGCTGTATTCGACAATTACAAAAAGTTCTCAATGGAAATATGCTCTGGCAGTGCTTTGGGTGTGGTATTCCTTGCATACACCTATTGTTATGTGGAGAACTAGGACTTCAAACTCACTTTCCATTAAGATAATGGATGAAACTGGCTTAGACTTGAATTCCGATTTTTATATAATTTTTCACTGACATTTCTTTGATTATCACATTTGGATGGTTTTAAATTAATTTTTAATTTTCCCTTCCCAATAAGATTTTGGAGGTAGCAGGTTTAATAATTCCGATTTTTAAAACATTTCTCACTGACATTTCGTTAAGCATAAAATTTAATTCTCAATTGTTGTTGTTTATAAATTATTATTCCTTTGTGTATGGTCTTTTTGTTGAAGGATTATTTAATTTCCACTTTCCATTAAAAAATTGGGGGGAACTGGCTTAGACTTAAATAATTCCGATTTTTATAACATTTCTCAATGACAATTCGTCACACATAAAATTTAATTCTCACTGTTTGATGGTTTTAAATTATAATTCCTTTTGTGTATTTTTTGTAGATTTGTTAAATATTTTTGTGGGATGATTTAATTTTTTATTAAACGTATGCTTTAAAATTTTAAGATATCAATTACCGACTCAAATATTTCACTTCACAAGACTGCTCTGATTTATCCGCTAACTAAACCGCACACTTACAAAATCCACGACGAACTGAAGTGCGGACTCTCATCGGAAGGCATGTTAAAAGCTGTTTTCAGCCTTCAAACCCTTAACAGAAAAAAGAGCTCAAACAATGTTATAACAGAGGGAATTTTCAGTATGATTCCTGATAGAGCATGTTGCCATCCAACTTGCTCGATGTTCCAACAGGACATGTCTTTTACTGGTTCGCTTGTGTGGAACTAACACAGCTTCCACATTCAAATATTTTAGAAATGTAAGCTCACAGATAGATGAAGAGGGAAATTACTCAAATTTGTAAATGTGAATGCTGACATTGATCCCAACGTTTGTGGTCATATCAGTATTGCATTTTAACAACAAAAGAACCCATAAAGGGGAGGTATATTTAATTCCATGTACTAAAAAAATTCCATTAACTTTTAAAAATATATAACTATTATGTTCCCACTCTGGTTTGTAAAATTTCTTTAAACCCCATAGCACATTTTGTAAAATATTACCTCACTACGCCTTTAATTTGCTAGAGTGCGAGCTGTTAGTGGTTTGCTTTTTTCTACTCGCACCCACATTCCTGGTTAGGTGGACGCAACAAATTGCCTGCCATGTTTACAGCACTCAGCCATCGCATTGCTTTAATTACCCAGCCTGGGGGCTGGATGACACCTTAAAGTATGCTATACAAATGAGACATAATTTCGATTTTGGGCATGTGGGGGAGCGCCGGAATAATAGGGCGAGAATTGTAAATGACCCCTTAGTTTATCTCAGTCCTCGAAACATCCCATGGCAACTGATATCTTTGTTTACTCAGCTACGTTGTCAAATGTCTGGCAATGCTCTCGCCCTGCCTTTGCTTGTCTTCTTTTTGGCTGTGAAAAATGTTTATGACTGCGGGCTGTATTAGATGTCTGGGAAAATGTCACCCACGCTTGGGTTGGAGCTTGAAAAAATCCAAATTTAAATGCAAAAATTATGTCTGGGTGGGGAGGAAATGGGAGGGCAACAAATTAACGAAATCAATTTCAAATTTTCATTGAGCTCCCTCTCTAACTTTGCCTTTGGGTCAGCCGTATTAAAAGCTAAAGCGAAGGGACGGTCCTGGCCTCAGAATTTTTGAGGTCATTGGGAGTTTTATGCTGGAAAAACTTTCCATGCCAAAGGAGAAAGTTTTAAGTAGTAGCTTAAATTTGATATTTCTACCCAATTTTATTATTTGCAGCGGTTGCTGCCTTTGCCTTTTGCTGCTACTGCGGTTTGGCAAGTTTAAATGTTTGGAGAGATATTTAATTCATTTATAAAATATGCTCGGGTTCTGACCGGCTCTCTGTTTCCGTGTGGATGATGTGCAACGCCTGGCTGACTTTTAATTTAATGAAATTCTGTGTGTTTCAACAGTTAGTTAGCCCTATGCTTCCCGTCTTTACACCAATTAGCAGGCTGGATGAGTGTGGCATATGATGGAAAATATGTTTACAGAATTGCTCGCTCTATTGGAAGTGTGATCTCAGGAACACTCTATTCTAAATTTAAGCTAAGATAGTCATTTTATTATAAGTATATAAATGTTTGTGAATCGATGTACACACTTATGGATTTGTGCCTTTGCGACCACTTTTCATTATTCCGCTGTTATTTTTTCGCCGCTTTTTCTTCCCCCATTGGGCGTAACACAGGACGCCACTGAGACTTTAACGCGATTGTTCAAAGTCTATATCCAGGGACAAAGAGTTGCAGTACATTAGGGTGTTTCGCGACAGATCGGACAGCAGGAAGAGATTGGTGCAACAGAACTAATACGCGAGCGCCACCAGGGATGCATATGTGTGGCTCTGTGATCACCATCAGCTTTTACTCCCTGCATAGTGGAGGGAAGCAGCAGGCGCACGCAGCAGGCGCACACTTTTAAATCAAAGTGCAAAAGTTTATACCTACTTTCCTTACCTTAATTCTGCGGTCGATTGGCAACATCTTGGACGAAACAAATGGAGGACTCACTCCCCCTGAAAACAAATCGATAAATGTTGGAAATAACATGTCAGTGGGTTATCTAAGATAGATACGGCATTACCAACACATGCAAATTGAACTTGTTTGACACGGGCTAGCGTGAATGCGGGTTAGTCTATGTCTAATACAATTTCAGTTGCTTAATCCACCATGACTGACACTAAGAGCTAAGTTAAAGATGGTTGCAGAGGGAAGGGTTTGGGCGTGGAGGTCCCAGAATCTTTACGCACTAGAGCACTTCAAATACTTGGGATTGATATTGAATTACGCACTCACCCATTACTACATGCACCCATGAACACACACAGAAGCACATCCATGTATGAATGTCAACATATCATGTTACACTTCACTGTGTGTGTTTCTGCGCTAAGTGAGATGTTGTTTGGTGGCCAAAAGCCCTCATCCGTCCGAAATAGCAAGTGCAGAATGAAGCGGAAATGGCTGCCATGGCTCGTCTCTGTACATGAAGTCACAATGTTGACCCTTTTATTTCGACCGACAGTTTTATAACCAAAACCGCAAGAACATCAAGCGTTGTTTGCTTGAGATTTATGTGTGCACAGATTTTACGACTCGTGGAGAATAACAGCACTGGTACATAACTCCTCAAGGATCGGCTTAGTGGGATTTTAACATTGGTTGGTTCATTGCAGGCGATTGTGGACTGCATTTTAAACGAAATGGCACCCTGTATGTAAATTGATCTCATGTCACGGCAACAAAATGAAAAAGAAAACACTACCTGACTGGTAATTATGTTTCATACCTTGCCTGGGGGTAATGTCGATATCAGATTCAGTTCGTTTTACCTAAGGGAGTTGTTGTCATGAATACGAATTAAAAAAGGAAGATCAAGGTTATGTAAGCAACGATGGAAGCTTATTGGCTAAAAATCAACACTGATAAGGGAATTTAAACTCTGAAAACTCCAAAGGAATGTTTGCTGATCTTATTACAGAGCGTTCGTTAAAATATCCCCAAACACTGCTGACTTTATTTTAAGTGTACTTTTTGTTTGTTGTATTTTTGCTTACCTTTACCATTAAAGGACACTGCAAGGCATGCTGACAGACGCGCAATGCGGTTTAATTAGTGCAACTGACAGGCCGAAAAGAGCAATGCAACGATGCACTTTGCTTTCGGGATGAGGGTGAGATGACACGCAAAAAAAAAAAAAATGAAGGAGGAAATTGCCAAACTTAAAGAGGATTGGAGTTGAAACACGTTTCAATTAGCAGCACTTTCTGGGCAGGAGCAGCCACAGTCAGGGCCAATAATGAGTTGACAAATGGCTTGTGTCAAACAAAAGCCGCGTAGGACAAACAAACAAACCAGATGCCGGGTAAAATGCGATGCAAGGGCCAACAAACACGTCTCGTTGCCTGTTGTGCAACCCAGCCTAGCAGTCACTTTTATTGGTATTCTGACACTCATACTCGTACCAGCACTCCAGCCAACAACAGAACCGTCATCTTACGAGCACATGGCTAGGCTTAAGTGTCGCGTAATTTATTTTCCACCTCGTGGTGGAACCACCTCGTATCCTGCCATTGTCAAAGAGTACGACTAAAACAGGAGCCCCTGCGAAATTCATGGCCTAGTCACCGAAAAGGTTGTCTCTAGCCGTTGACAGCTGAAATTAATTTGTATGTGTCTGTTTTAAACTTCCTGAGTTATTCATGGGAGATATGCTAGTAGAGGAATGTATCTATTTGGAATCTATGGGAATGGTTAAGTACTTGTTTCTTATTCATTTCCGAGGACAAAGACAAATTAGCTTTAAATAAAAGCATTTTCCGTGCCTTGAAATTTGAAACATATAAAACAAAATGTTATTCAGTAATAATATTTATGTCATGTACTGGATTCTTTCAATCAGAAGATCACATACATTACATTTTCAATAAAGTTTTCTCTTTGAGGAAAATGCTGCTCATAATTAAAAATAATTATATTACATCACAAGGGTCTTTTACAATAAGCCACTTAACGGATTTATCATCACGAGTGCTTAACTTTCAGATGAATACTAATGAAAAAAAATAGCATAGCCCGATTAAGTGTATATTCCTCACGCCCCATATGATTTCGCTGGTAATGGATGTCACTCTCAAGATACAAGACGAAGGCTACCAATCCACTAAAATAAATGTACTAAAATATATCAAGAATATGAGAAAATGGGACATACAACTCTGACACGCACTGTCCATACGAGTAGGTTCAAGATACATATAAATGTGTATTCTCGTGTGAAGCACTGCAATTTAACTTTAATTTATTTTTAATTTGTGCATGCGTATCTCTCTGATTGAATCAGTATCAGTGTGAGTGTTAGTGTGAAGCTTGTGCTTGTATGTGCAAAAAGAAAATAAACTAGAAGGAACGTGTGAGTCGCTTCTGTGGACGCGACTCTTCTTTTATACCCGTACTAAGTCAGTATATAAATTTGTGAGCTTATGATTTGTGTAGAGTTTTAAAATATTTTACATTTAACATTTTTTGCTACATCTATATTTACATCTACAATGGCGATTACACATCTAAAATGTAGATTCGACTTACACAATGTATATTTTACATCTTCTCCGCAAAGGTCGCGCATTGCACAGGGCAGAGTGTATGCGAGCGAGAAGGAGAATGAGTGCTGGAGGGGTGATGGAAGCAACTGTAAATTAATTTCTTTATTCTGTCTATAATAATAATTCGATCTGATTCAGATTTAAAATTGTGGCTGGCACAGATTTTTTTCCTTTGTAGGGCCCGATGGGGCGGGATGAAATTTGGAAATTCACTACTAGCAGTGTGATATCACATGGGTCTGGGAACAAAATTTGGTTGCTCTAGCTCTTATGGTCTCTGGGATATAGGCGCTAATCAAGACGGACAGACGGACGGACGGACGGACGGACAGACGGACATGGCTATATCGACTCGGCCATTGATGCTGATCAAGAATATATATACTTTATGGGGTCGGAAATGTTTCCTTCTCTGCGTTGCACACATCCACTTTTATTAGAAGTCTAATATACCCCTTAACTCTTCGAGTACGGGAAAAAAAAATTACCGTTGCGATACCATGGCCAGCGGTATCCGGAAGCAGCTGGGGGTAGTGGCAGAATGGAGAAATGGAGCAGGCATCAGAAGACTGAGCGAATTTCGTTTATGACTATTTTATGCCAACTGCAAGTTTTTTGCACTTTATTTTCGGCGGAGCTTAACATGCAAATTATTATTTGCACTGTGTGTGGCGTGCCGTGGGGCAACATTGTGAGGGAATTTTATATGTGCCGGCGCCCTACAAAACGGTTTCCGTGTGGTGTTTGTGGCGCCTTTTTTATGGTCTACTCGAGTCAGCCTCTCCTTCTGTCTCTGTGGGTCCCTCTGTTGCGTACTTCAATTTGTAGTTTGACTTTTTTGTTATTTCATTTTCATTCGCACTGTTAATTATGTTACGCATTTGTTTGCTGTTATCCCTTTTTTTTTTCTGTGAAGTTAATGAAAAGCACTTTTTCACTCCTGCATTAAAAATATTTGAGCAAGAGTGGATTCCTGCAATGAAAAGTTAAATGCAAAAAACCCCTCATAGCAACATTTTGGTTTTTTTTTTGTTTGGGAATTAAGTTATAGTATAAAATAAATTGATAAATAAATAAGAAAAGGTATTCAAAGAGAACCAACTTAATATTTAAATTTATTATTTTCTGAAATTTTTTATTCGCTTAAGCGCTCGATTTCCACTTATCCTATATCATTTTTAATTTCCTTTTGCTGACACAAAATTCCAATTTCAAATTCCTGGTTAAGAAAAAGCATTTGATTTATTATAAAGAAATTCAAAGGAAATTATAGACGGAAAATATGATGGAAATTATTTTCCATTTTTTTAGGGCTCAGACTCAACTGTAATTGAAAAAATTTCGTGTCTTTCGTCTTAGTGCAAAGTTTTCCATCAGAAAAAAGTGGTAATATTCCAATCGGAAATGAGAAAATCTTTGCCTACTGCATCCACCTTTGAGGTGGTCTCTGGGCAAGTAATTAGTCATTTTTAATTGATTGGAGCAACTCCATCGACATCAGCGCTTTAATTTCTTACTGTTCGGCTCATGCAAATTACAAATAGGAGTCATGGAGCCAAGTCTAGAAAAATTTAATATCACGGATTGCAGTCAGGTTGCCCCTCTTCCTTCCTCAAGTAACTATTCCTTTAAATAGAGGTTGTTGCAACATAGCTTTAACAAGTCAGCTGTCTATATGTATAATGCAGTAAGAGTGTGTTTGCTTACTGCAGTGAAGTGTAAAATGGAAAATGAGTTCGCACTTTAGATTAAAATCTGTAAACATGAGCCATATATTTGTGGGCTGCAACTCGTTTAAGGGTTTTTCGATGGGCTCTCAACTCAGGGTTCAGGTTAAAACTTCTTAAGGCGAGTGACAAAATAACTCTATTAACCATCGCCGCATCTTGTTAGCCTGATGGAAACAGAATGTCACTTAAGCTCACTAGCTCAAAACGGACACGGAAATTAGCCCAAATAAACCTTTTCTCTTGCATTAGAGCAGGAAAACATTTAGCTTAAAGAACATTAAAAAACATTCTACTTCCAGCTGCATGGAGGGGTTCTGGTTCTGCGGTCATGCGAACATATTTCAAATGTACTTGAGGGGGGTTGGCAACAGTTTTATAAATTAATAACTGTATATTATGCAGCAGCCACATTCACAGCACTCATAATAAATTCAGTAAAACTTTTTTACATACTCAGCAGCAACAATTACAACGAGAAAGAACGTGCGAGTCGCTTCTGGGGACGCGACTCTACTTATACCCGTACTCAGTCAGTATATACATTTTTGAGCAAATGATTTTTAAGAATTTTAGCATTAAAATAGCATTTGCTACATCTGTTATCTACATCTACATATATTATGTATATTCTACATCTTACATGTAGATTAAACATGTACCCTTTAGATTCTACATCTCCTCCGCTAGGGGGTTTTTAGTTTTATCGTATCTTTAAAAATGTGCCTGCCACAAATTTTCGTTCTTTATGGAGGCGGAAGGGGGCGGGACGAAATTTTGAAATACACTTGTAGCAGTGTGATATCACATGAGTCTGGAAACCAAATTTGGTGGCCCTAGCTCTTATAGTCTCTAAGATCTAGATGCTCAACAAGACGGAAAGACAGACAGACAGACAGACATGGCTATATCGACTCGGCTATTGATGCTGATCAAGAATATATATACTTTATGGGGTCGGAAACGTTTCCTTCTCTGCCTTACACACATCCACTATTACCACAAGTCTAATATACCCCTTAACTCTTTTTGAGTACGGGTATAAAAACAACAATGACAAGTAAGTTGCAGTTGAAGCCTTACAGGCAGCTCGGCAATTCTCATCAGATAGATTGATACACAACTTTCTAAAATCATATGATATGATACGTCTGGGGCTTTCCATCAATCCACTTGTTAAATTTGTTAGAATATGATCATTATTGTTGATATGTGCAGTATACAAATTATATTACCGGGTACACAAAATTCGATCCAAATCTAGTTTATGATGCAAGTCCAGGCGTGAAATTGAGAAGTGTGTGCATAAATGGGGAGACAGCATCCTTATCCGGTGAGTATTTTTTTTTTTCTCCGCCTTCTGCTACTACTACTTCTTGTCCTGACACAATAACAACAATAATCTGGCAGCAGCTGACAAGTACATAAAATTGGGTTTGGTATCCTACCCGAAAACGCAATCGCATAGCTTAAAAATATATGTGGTGCTCGGGGACAGAGAAATAGGGTACTGGAGGGCCGAGAGAGCGACAGCACCCGAAGGCCTTGAAATATTAATGCTAATGGCTAGAAGGAAACATATTTCCTTGGTGTCGGGCAATCGCCTGATTGTGCTGCTTAGTCCTGTCAGCTGTGGCGAACGGATCCAAGGTAATGCCAGGCGATGAGATTTTTCAATAAATGAATGAAAATGCTAAAAACTCTCGCAACAAGCAATTTTCCTTAGTAGCAAAAGCAGCAGCCATCACCCAGCTAGGGAAAAACTAATTCTACAAAAATGTTCCTCGCCCCAAGCAGCTGTGCTTGTGTGGGGGGATATGGCAAAAGTTTGTAGCGAAATGTTCTTCTTATGCAGTATAAATATCCAAAGTATAAAAGGCTTTTGAGATGTAAGGGATACGCATTCCACACAAACAGCAAAGGGAGTTCTTCAAACTGTTGCCTAGACTGCAAATTCTAGTTGCTCTACGCCTGGACACCATGGAAAACAAAAGTTTGGAGCCACAATGTTTATAGTGTATCTTCTTCATATATTTTGCTAGAGGAATATTGACAACATTAAAGCTTATGTGCACTCAAGTCGATGAGTTTTGCTGACCAACTGCACTGTCACGTGCCAGAGACACGTTCTGCACCTTACACGCCAAAAGCTAAGACCCTTCGAAACTTACTCGACCAAAAGAACACAGTGTCAGCCATAAGAGGACTAACAGAATGAAGACACTAAAGTAAAAGAAACAGCTGTGAGGGGAAGATGCAACACCTGCAAAAGCCCTTACCAACGTATGCATAACAAAATGTTGCACACTTTTTATACCTGGTACTCAACGTATAAAACAAGGATTCAAGAGTATATACTCGTAAGGGAATATATTCGTACAAGATATCAATTTTATATTGTATATTCAAAGCTCATTTGGTATCCATAACATTAAAGAATTGTTTATCAGACTTAACATACTTTAAATAATTCGATTAGGCCATCGCTGAATTTAGATTGATAGTTATTTAATACCGAATTAGAACTACAAGTTACAGTACATGGTACTAAGTAGTACCAGTTATATAATTGAGTACCAGGTATATAAATGTCGAGTCACTCGAGTTACTCAGATCCCCTTTGTCCTTTTTTTGTGGTTAGTAATTGAATCGTAATGCAGACATGAAATTTTCATTATTTTGTTATAAAAATTCAAAACCTGTCGCCAGAAGCTGCTCCTTTTGTTGCTATTAAAATTAGCATATCTTTACAACTGCCTTGAGAATTTGTCATCACAGGGAACTACCACAAAAATGTAAGAGAGCATCTGTGTGCCTGGCTCTCAGCTGGATGGATGCTTGTAGTAGACATCAAACTGCGTTTGAAACTTTTCGCCCTTCTTCGCTTTAGGATCGTGCACAGCAGCTGCTTGCATCTTTGTAAGGCCCAAGTCATGTGGAAATGTCCCAATTCTTTACCAGCCTTGGGTTTTCTTCCTTCGCTGTAGAAGCAGCTATGCCACGTCAGAAGCTGTGTGCAAGTTTTCGGCGCTAAAACTTTGCCTTTTGTCAGAGACAAAAAGTTAATGCTGGTCCGATTAATGAGCGCTTTTGAGTCCGAGAGAACCAAAGTTCTGACTCTAACTAGTACTAGTACGGAGCTGAGGTGTATCCAAAAATCTAAAATTACATGCTTCGAACAGCGAGGAATGAATAGCCGCACTGACGGATCTAGAGTGCAAATAGTTGCCGCCGCATTCAAAATATCCAGGCTCTGATGATAGGTAAACTCTCACATTTTTAATAGGCTAGGTTAGGGCATCCTCTATAGAAAAAAAATCTACTATTCCAGCCACTATTTTCTGGAATGTTGCAATAAATGTACAGGTCCTATCATGCAGTTTTCTTTAATCTGTATCTTCCGCTGAAAGGGAAGCCTAGCGCCGGAAACTTTTCGACTAATGGCCGACAAAAACTCACAAGTGCCGTCACGACGTCGAGGATGATTATGATTATGAATGGATGGAGCCCCATAACAGGGAGGCAATCGTTGTCTAATAGCAGGAGCCTCGACCAGGTTTGTTTCGCCTGCACTGGAACGTGGCGAAAAGTTTAGTTTATGTAGATTAAGAGCATTTTGAGAACCTTTGCTAATTAGCTTCGTTTATCTGCATTGCTCTGGCAGTTTTGACACAGCCAAAGCCGGGGCCATAGCAAAACACTTCTGGAGCAGTTTAAAAAGCAAAAGTAGTTTTGCTGTAAAATATATTTAATTAATTTCTGTTGGTCAAGCTTATTGAGCAATTTGATTGGTAAACTCAATTAAAGTTTTTGTAACTTTTCAAATGCAATTTGTCTTTCATTTAGACTCTAAATGACTCTAAATTTTAGAGTGTCATAAAAATTGTTCATAAACAATTGCCTCCCCAGAATATTAAGTGTGGTTCTTTTTTCACCATTAAAATTCCAGCATAAACATTGAACATTTTATTGACTAACTTCTTATTTGGTATGCAAGCAAATCCCGATCATCATGGCCATACACCTGAGATGGAATTTTTCAGGCATGGCTTTTGCCAGCTCCAGAGATTCAAATTGAGTGCCATAAGCTGTGAGTCTGCCTCATAAATAAGACAATGACAAGCATTAGAGATTTATGAATAGATGGGGGAGAGCGACTGGGAGCGAAAAAAAAAAAATATAACTTCTGCCAGGAGTTACTATTCCTCTTTCACAGAAAAGTTCTTGTCACTTTTTTTGGTTTACCTTGACTGATTCATACTGCTTAATTGTGGAAAAACATGTAAGCCAATTGCCTTAATTAGGGTGCATCAATTTGGCAGCTATCAAAATAAATTTATATTTATAATCGATTAGCATACAAGTCAGACATGTACTTGTGTCAGGTTTGTTTTTAGTATAAGTTTAAGTGCCTGGGGATCTTTACAAAGACATAAAGGTTTAGCTCATCCTCGGTATATTTTGCCATTCACACTTTTTGCATAGGGAATCCATTTGGTTTGTTGTCCCAGGGAACGATACCACTTTCATTCAGTGACATATTGGAAACCTGTTTATGCTCAAACTCGAGGCTACTTGGGCACCTCGTTAGCAGACCTGTGCAATTACTTTTTCTTATCCAATTTCCTTTATTTTGTATTTTTATTCAATTTGTGTGTGTCCCCGTCCATACGGAAAAAAATACCAAATAAATTTGCATGTGAGACGAAAGTGGGCAAACCGGGAAAGCATTTTAAAAATTAATTAATTCATTTGGTACGGTACGGGCCTTGGGCCCTGGACATGACATCGGCACAGAGTGCTGTTTAATTTGCCCCTTTTCTTTGAATCCTTTTTCTGCGCCTTCCTTTTCAGGACTATCTGTGGGGGGAATGTGCTCTATCATTGTCCTTGCAAGAAATTAAATTGTATTTTAAATAGGCAACGTTAATTTTATAAATAATTTATACGGACACGTAATTTGCAATTCCGAAATGTATTGGAACAGGTGTGAAAGGTAAACGGTGAATTTAATAGATTGTAATTTCATTGCATCAACTATTCTGAATGTAAATTGGTGGCGCCTTTGGTGTTGGAAAAACATATAATGAAACTAAGATAGTGGAGAGATTTTTAAAAAGTACAAGGAAACATACATATATCGACGAGAAAATATGCCTTCCAGAACCTGCAATATTCAGTGTTCCTTTCTGATAAAAATTGTATAAGAAACATTGCTAAATAAATTATTTTCATTGAATATATCCTTCAAAAGTTGGAAGCAAACTTATTTAGTTTCTTAACTAGTGCCCTGGCATTAGAATTATCTGCCGCATTTTTATACCCGTACTCAAAAAAGAGTTAAGGGGTATGTTAGATTTGTGGTAAAGTTGGATGTGTGTAACACAGAGAAGGAAACGTTTCCGACCCCATAAAGTATATATATTCTTAATCAGCATCAATAGCCGAGTCGATAGAGCCATGTCTGTCTGTCCGTCTGTCCGTCTGACCGTCTGACCGTCTGTCCGTCTTGTTTGACGCCTGGATCTCAAAGACTATAAGAGCTAGGGCAACCAAATTTGGTTTCCAGACTCATGTGATATCACACTGCTACAAGTGTATTTCAAAATTTCGCCCGCCCCCTTCCGCCCACACAAAGGCCGAAAATCTGTGGCAGGCACATTTTTAAAGATACGATAAAATTAAAGACATTAAATTAAAGCATTAAAGCATTATCGTAGAGAATGACCGTATCTACCAGACTGCCGAATCTGAATCAGATCGGATTATAATTATAGCCAGAATGAAGAAATTAATTTTCAGTTGGCTCCCCTGCCCCCTCCTGCCAACGACAACGCAACTCATTTTCCTTCTCGCTCGCACACTCTGCCGCGTTCAGTGCGCGAGCAACCCCTAGCGGAGGAGATGTAGAATCTAAATGGTACATGTAGAATCTACATGTTAGATGTAGAATATACATAATATATGTAGATGTAGATAAAAGATGTAGCAAAAAAATGTAAAATGTAAAATTTTTTTTTTAATTCTAAAATTCTAAAAAATCATATGCTCAAAAATTTATATAGTGACTGAGTACGGGTATAAGTAGAGTCGCGTGTTTAGAAGCGACTCGCACGTTCCTTCTCGTTATGTTTCTCATTAATGGTATTATTTATGCAGCAGCAAAAGCACGGCTGTACATTATTTTGACACTACTATTGCGTGTAAATGCACTTATGATTAAGTGATTGCCGCTTTATTACAGTCATCATTGCAAAATCACTGCAAGGTTGATCAGGGAAGTGTGTTTAATGTGGGATTCAAATAAAATCATGATATTAAAGTTTTCAAGTA